AGGGGGGCGAATTAAAACTGACACAGAATAAAAAAAACCTCGATGCAATAAATTAATAGTAACACTATTTTATTTCTTATGATACAGTAATATAAAATAAACTCCACGACAAGCACACTACGGCATAGAAAACCCTGTCTACCGGAGGTGAATGAAAACATAAAGAAATCAACAAAAGAATTGGGTATTGTAGTGGGTTTATAAAATTATACAGGACTTAGCTTCTACATGTTTCAGGCAAGAATCCATAAAAGATTAGCATTTGCCCAAATGGAAACTAGCACAAGCTTGTTTTTTTACGCTATTTTATGAAATCATATTATTTCCTATTATTTCCTCCCTTTTTTTGACTCGGGATAGGATGGGGATGAGGGTTAGGTTATGTTAGTTCAGATCATGGTTGTTGTTAGTTTGGGATGTGTTAGGTTATAGAGGGTTTGTTTAGGAATGAGTTAGGGCAGTGTTAAAGTTAGGTTAGATTTCGGTTAGTGTGAGGGATGGGTTATTTTAAGTTTAAGGTTTAGGTATGAGTTAGGTTAGGCTACATAGGGTTTGATTTAGGGATGAATAAGGTTTATATAATGATTAGTGTAGAGACGTGTTATATTAAGTTACTTAGAGTTAGGTTTACGGATGAGTAATTTAGATCCACAGTACAAAAATTGAAAGAAGGAAAAAAATAAAGGACGTGAAAGTAAATCCATAGTGTAAATAACTTTCAATTAATTAATCTTTAATTAAGGTTTTGGTTGAGATAAAACAGTCAGTGTCACGAGCAGGATTCGAACCCACGACCTTCTGCTAAATACGCCGCTGCTCCTACCACTTGAGCCATCGTGACTTCGATCCACTCGGACACCAACTTCCCATCTCAACTCCACCTTTTGTATTTCCCTCCTTTTTGCCAATTTTCAAGTACGAGTCCACGAGCGGCGTATTTAGCCGAAGGTCGTGGGTTCGAATCCCACTCGTGAAGCTGACTTTTTTGTCTCAACCAAAACCTTAATTAAAGATTAATTAATTGAAAAGAATTTATTTGGTCAATCGGACCACGAAACCTAATAGATAGTATAAATAATAATTAAAAAAAATAAAATAAAATAATCAAATTGTACAAACATTAAGCTCTTTAACACAAATATACCTGTATTTTTTATTTATTTTTTTTACGAGGGTTCGCAACAGCAGAGGCTATATGAACCAAAAACACCTCGGGGTGCCGGTGTTTTTTAATAAAAGCACATTTGTAAGAATGTCGGGCTCGAATGCAGGGCCGCTGGATTCGAACTTGGGACCTTTAACTTACAGTGATAAGCCGCCTAAACCGTTGTGGCCACCGACGCCCCCTATACTGTATTGCCATGCATGTCTGTAATATTTTACAAGTGGAGACGGTTCAGTATTTAGCCCAGTAATTAGTTCATTTCTACATAGGATTCTGTTTTAAAATTTTGCATTCTGCTAAGAAATGAAACATGTCCTCTCTGACCTTAGAGTTACATAAAGAGCACAGGCAGCCAAGGGGTGTGATTTAACCAAAGCAGCTCACACCTTATTTTTAAAATACACCGCAAATCACCCAGTTCAGACGAAGATTGGAATCAGACGCAATAGATGGCAACTGAATGATCCCTATAAAGCAAAATCGAGTTGATGTCTTAGCAAGCCTCATAGACTCCTCCCAATGACGTACATTGATCATTGCAAAAAGATAATCAAGAGTACCTTTCCATTCGGAGATATTATTAATATTTAAGTTGTGTGAAGTGGAATATTTATGAAATAGAGTATGCCAGTGGGAAAAACAGAAAGTCCTGTGTTTTATAATCGCAAAGGCAGTAAGTTTTAGAAGATGGAATTAAAAAGATTAAGAATTTTCAGGACATACTTGAAGTGAGGCATCAGTGTAGATACCATCAATACGTCCGTGGCAGTCTCTAAATACAACATATATGAGTTTAAGAGGGAATGCCAAAAAGCTTTTTGATAAAAAAAAATTCAGAAATTTCTCATCTACGTCATACTATTGATATCCTTAAACTTGGCATGCATAAAACAGCACAGACCTACAGACAGCATTAAATATGTTGAGTTTAGCTTTCAGTGTGATGTAATTTAACATTAAACCATCCCAAATTTTGTTAAATCTTAGCTGAAAACGACTAATAAATTAAGTATTTGTAAAATTTTAGACAAAATAATTTTTTCTATGACAATTTCTCTTGAAACGGGCATAAGAAAGATTCGTAATAAGCCAAGCAAACAAGGCATATCTAATGTAGAAATTTATATCGTTATATTTACTTTTACGTTCATATCTAATATTAAAAGTGTTTTATCTGCCTCCCAGCTCCAGTTAATCACACTACCTGTACAATAAATAATCCATAAATATATAACGCCTGTAAATTTTTTCTTACGTTTTACCGTTAAATTACGCAGGCTAATAGTACAAATTAGGAAAGTTAAAGAAAAATCTAAACGTACAAAACATTTCTAAGATACATTCTATAGTAAAGCCTAAATAAATAGGCATTTACAAATACGTAGTCGATATAACGGAATTTCTATTTATGAGCATCACGTATCAGAAAGAAAAAATAGAACAGAAGTAGAAAAAGCCCAACAAGCACGTGGCGCTGGTGTGAATAGAGAAACGACCGTTGAAAAGAAAAATGCCTACAGATTATAATCATTTTAAAACGCCCATAAATCCCACAATTTATGTATTTTTAAAATTACTTTCTACATTAATAGCTGCTATTCAAATCAATGTTGAACTGTGCTTCCATAGTTTTCAATATTTTATTGTTATCCTTTTATTCGTCGTGAAAGTATACATTACATACATTCCCTGGGTCATTTTTCATGTACAGAACTATGCATAAAAATATTAACAAAACATTGGTAATGGTAATATTTTTTTTACACCCAAAAACAAAAACGAAAAAGAGGGTGTCTCTTTCCTCTCTCTCTCTCTCTCTCTCTCTCTCTCTCTCTCTCTCTCTCTCTCTCTCTCTCTCCGTGCGTGCGTGTGTGTGTCAGAGAGAGAGAGAGAGAGAGAGAGAGAGAAGAAAGAGAGGGTGAGAGGAAATGTATGAAAGATTGATTGATTATTGTTTTATTTATAGTCACATTGATTCGGTCGAATTTGACCACTCTTAAGAATGAGAAGTTGAGAGAGAAAGAGAATAAAAGAGTGTGAGGAGAGAAAGAGAGAGGAAAGAAAAGAGTGTGAGAAGGGAAAGAGACAGAGAGAAAGAGAATGAGAGTGAAATGTTTTCAAACTATATGTATGTATTTTTATCGGTATTCTAATACAACATACTTATTTTAATGTAAACCGAATTAAACGAGATCAAAAATTAATGAATTTTAATTTTGAAAAAATATTTAATTAAAACGGCTTGAAAGAAAATCCGCCAACAAACCGGAAAATCATTTAGTAAATTATTAAAATTTATTTGACAATTTATTCTATCACTACACAATTTTTCGGTGTTTTGGTGAATTTTCATTAAAACCATCATAATTAAATAATTTTTATTATTATATTCATAAGTTTGAAATGAACAACAAAATACGAGTCCGGTTGTTTTTGCCTTTGACTATAATTATGTATTAGAAATATAATTTTACATAATATAATTTGTCAAATGTTTCTCCATCCAATTTTCTCTTTCTTTATATCCTCTTTCCTATAAGACTGTCTTTACTTGCTATCAATTTTACTACCCCTAACCCCTACAGATTTAAATTTATATTTATTTGTTAATGTACAGTACAAAAACATTGGACAGATACTCAAGAAAAAATGTGATATTGATTTAAAATTTATAGAATAAATAAATAAGTAAAAATCTATTGAATCGACTGACATACGGACTTGTATTGGCCAGCAAATTTTTTGTTCTTTTTGTATTTGTGTATTGAAGATGTTTTTTTCGTTCTTGTTGTCCTTTTTCCTTTATTGATAGTTTTATTTCACCATGATTTTAAGGCCATTGTTAAGAAACGGGTAAAATAATTAACTTTATTATTTTATTGAAACATTCCAGAAACACAATGCAATGAAGATGGCATATTATGCCAAACGTAGCAATAAAATAATAAAATTGATTTTATTTCAAGAATAGTAAAAAAATGAGGAAATAAAACTATATATTATCCACCAAACATCGTGTAAATAAATATTGAAAAAAAATTGCCACATCTGAAAACAAAATTGACAATAGTAAACAAAAAGGGACAACATAAGTAACCAAAGGGAATAAAAGTCATAAAATCATTCATGCTGCCTTTATCAAGCATGAAATTTTCTTAAAGTATAATTAATTAAATGCGCATACTAAAGTATTTTCCCAGATAAGTGTAACAGGAACCTACAAGATCAATGAGAAAAAGATGGTAAAACAAACTACCATTTTTACCAATAACGGAAGACTTTTCGTCAAAACAAATATAATAAACCCACGATTTTACAACGGTCGCTAATCTATTTATAATTTTCCCCAATTTTTTCAATTTGCCAATCGGTTTGTGATTAGGTCGGATTATAAAGATAAATCAACAACCTTGGTACTTGCATCATTGGCTATCTTCTGAAAGGACCCTGGGGAGGAAACAGAATATATTTTTTTACCAAAATTCACATCCTTGCTTTTATTTATTTGCAAAATTAAGTTAAAAAAAGTTCTTAGATCAAAATATTATAAGAAAAATAACAAATTGGCCATGAAAAAACCGGGTTTTGTATCTTGCTGTCTTTTTAAAATGGCGCCGGAAAACTTTCCTTCTTAAAAGTTTATGTATTTCGCAATTGTTTATAATAGTGTTTCTATTTTTTTATTTTTTTTATTTTATGTTGTGGGTTTTTTAAAGCTTTTTCCACTGTTTTTTTTTTTTTTTTTTTAATGATTGAGCATTAGAAAAAAAAACTTTTGGGTCTGTGTATTAAGACAGTAGGCGGTGTAAAGAAGAATACAAAAATCATGACTTACGAATCCGTAGCCCCGGCTTTTTCCAGTTTGCCTATCAGTAATGACGACGGCTTCTTCGATGTCACCGAAGACAGAAAAATGTTCTCTAAGTGACTTGTCTGTCGTGTGATACGGGAGACCGCCTACAAATAGCTTCGTCCATGTCGTGTCTTTGTGGCCGGACTGTCCAGTGCCGAGTCCAGCGAGGGTGCTCACGAGGGCTTCACTCGAGCCGAGGTCGGCGACACTATTTGGCATCAACATGGCTCTACTCGCATCACTTCCCAGCACAAAACTAAAACTGAAACGGTCGCCCTCGGATCTCGAGCCCCCACTTCAATCCTGCCAACCTTGTCTCCTACCGTCGAATTTCCCCCTGCCAACCCCTTGTTTTTCACCCCTTTTTTTCCTTTCCACCCGTTGTAGACGGCTTCCCTCTCTTCTAGACAACAACCAGACTTGTCACGGGGATTTTATCGCGTTCCTTTCGTTTATACTACCCTCCTTCTAAGACTCATCCCTTTTTTTATACTTTTTTTATATGCGCAATATTATATTTCATTTATTTATGCCATACATCTAACCCATTTCTTCCGTTTCTCCCTACCTATCACTCACTCTTTCTGTCTCTACAGTGTCCTTAGATGGCCCGGCTGAATTTCAGTTGAACCAATGATACTATCAAAAGAAAAAAAATATATAAAAGAGAACAAGAGCATGAGAAAGAAGAAGAGTGATCGAGAGAGGAAGGAGGAGAAATATAGAAAGAGAGAGAGTGAGAGAGAGAGAGAAAAGGAGAAGGAATGTATAAAAGAAAAGTATAAGAGGAAATGATAAATAGGGGTTGATTAGAAAGCCAGGAAAGGAAAGAAAGTGAATATGTTTGGGAGAGATTGAACAGAAAACAGAAAAAAGAAAGAAAACATACATAAAAGAGAAAAAGAGCATGAAAAAGAAGAAGAGTGATTGAGATATAGGAGAAGAAGGTAGAAAGAAAGAGAAACAGAGAGGGAGAGAGAGAGAGAGAGAGAGAGAGAGAGAGAGAGAGAGAGAGAGAGAGAGAATGAGAAGGAGAGATGTGGTCAATCACATTTTGTCTGAACATACAGGTGCATAAATAATTTTTAACGTTACATGGACAATTGTTTATAGTTTTTAATTGTATATTTCTGTCTGGCAAAATGACTACATTAAGTTTTTACGATTCCAGTGAAACATTTATCATTTATTTAATTTATTGTTCCCTTTTCTATTTATTTATTTTATCTCTGTTAGAAATGATATAAGTTTAATTCGTTTAGAAAAGGACTTGTTTTTACGGTTTTGTGAAGCCAAAAGTATTGTCTTAGGTTACATTTGTTTAAGTTTTATACTATTGTATATGTAATTAATTAATAATAATAGGAAACGAAGAATAGGAGACCATGAGAAAGCGAGAAAATGAGATATACAGGGTGTCATTTTTAGATCGCCCGGCTGAATTTCTCTTAAATCAATATAAAGCTATCAACAAAAAAAAAATACTTGTTTAATTATGTTTAGGCTAATTTCAATTTTTTACTTTTCTGGAGAAAAATTATACAGGGTACCTCAGGCCCAGTTCAACTTCAAAATTTCAAATACGATCCTATACATCCTGATACATCATTTTAAAGGATTTGCTGCGCTGAAAACAATGGTGCACTCGGATTTTAAATTCGTCAAAAAATGACAAAGTTACGGTTAAAGTTTGAGAAAAAACATTTTGTTTGGTATTTATTAATCACATTTCATGTTCGAACTGCCTACCTTGCGTAAAGATGCAAAGATTTGCTCTTTTTAACCAGTCTTCACTGGTGCTCAAAGAGATAGAGTCAAATATTTTTTAAGATTATTGTATGTACTTGGCTCAGCTCAGACATATTATGTTGCCTTGTGAGACGCGCGCTCGGATGCTTGTGTCTGTGTTTGCGTGTTTGTGTCTGATCATATAGGCAATAAATGCATTACATATTACTTTGATAAGGTTTTGTTGCTTGCGTTTGCGTGAGTAATTACGCATTTAAATTAATTAGATCTTTGTTCTGTGATTAATTTAATTGAATCACATCCTCGTCCGTAACTTGGACGTAAATTATAAAGCATGGGTGTGCGTATAAAAACAGCGAAACTGGTCGGACCGACAGATTTATCGGAGTAGAGCAAAATTTATCACTCGCAAAAACAAAAACGGCACTTTTAAACTCACCATCAGTTTAATCTGACAGTTGATACTACAATACTTATACAACTTTAGAGCCGAATTTTAAATTTCTCTCTAAAATTATTTTTGCCGTCTATAATCTTAATTCCGTTTCACTTTACATCTGCTATTATAATGGCGTAAATAAAAGTTATTAAGTTATGTTGCTTGTTGTTTTATTTAAATGGGGGCCTAAACAGAATAAAGATGAAAGCTCCGGCGAACATTGTGAATAGGCGAGATCAATTATGTTCAAACTGCTGTCAAATTTGACAATGCAGTCTCGATCCAGAGTGGTTCTCCGTAATCCAGTGTCAGTCAGCTTGAAATTTCCGATAGCATACACAAAAAGGTAAAAAGGGTGTTAAAAATAGTATGTGAGATATACAATTTCTTCCATTGTGATATCGAAATAATTGAGTATTAACTGACAGTTCTAGAAGTTCGACAATTTAAACTGTTTTGCAACAGGAAATCCTGGTCGTTATGAAAGAAAAATTAATCAAAATCAATTCCTGCATTTACGAATAATTCGATGTACAACGAATGCAAACAGTAATTGAGAACCGCAGCTTTAAGTTCAACAGGATGAGTCTTGAAATTTTCAGACCTCTGACCGTCAAATACAAATAAACGGATCAAGTAAATCCTAGGTATCGAATAAGCAGTTCATCGGTACTAATTAGTACGTAAATTTATTAGTTAATTTTTTTAAACAAAATTCATTTTCCTCACTTTATCTATTCGTTACTGTCAGTATTACGACTTCAGTCGTTACCCTAATGAATCATTTTGAATAATACTCTAGATTTGCGATAACCTCATTTAAAATGACAATGGAATATGAATATTATTTTCAGTTGGAGGGGGGATAAAGTTTAATAAAACAATTACAGGATCTTTGAATCAAAACGTACTTTTTGCCAGTTTTATAATTTATAAAAAATGGAAGAGTGTATTCCACTCATTCAGAAACATACATCATTCAGTTCATAATAAACACTTATTTGTATTATGAAAAATAATGACATAAATTTACAGAAAAAGTATTATAGTAATTTGCAAAAGTAGTTTTTGGTTATACTAAAAAATTTAGCTTATTTTGTTTAAATTAATTCTTTTGTAAAAAGATTTTTTTAATGAAATGTTATAATCCCTGACAAACAAAATCCAATATATTTTCGTTTAGGTATAGCGACAATTATCGATAAGCATTTTTCCAAGCTCATTATGCAGTTCCTGAATGAATCCCGTTGTAATCGGAAAACTTTTTTTTATCTTTGGAAATAAATAATTAAATCTTTGAATCAAAACGTACTTTTGGTCAGTATTATAATTTTTTAATGGACGTATAAAAATAGTAAGAGGACCATTGTTCGTTCAGAAACATGGATCGTCCAGATGATATCAAACACGAGTTTTTTTTATTTATATATTTTATTTTAATCTAGTTTTTAGGGTAAAGAAACATAATGGTCTAAATTAGCACAAATTATTAAATTGGTTTACAAAAGTAGTTTTTGGTTTTTTGTAATTTTTGCAATGAAATCATAATTTTGTAATCCCTGGCCAACAAAATCCAATATGTGTGGTGATTAGTGACCGTTAATCGATATTTATTTAGAAATCGTGAGATGCGGTCTGGTGTGATGTGGGTTTCAGAAAAACATTTTCTTTATCGTGCCAACGTTTCGATCTTTATTGAGCCCTGAAGATGATCTCAATAAAGATCGAAACGTTGGCACGATAAAGAAAATGTTTTTCTGAAACACACATCACACCAGACCGCATCTCACGATTTCTAAATAAAAATAATCCAATATATTTTTGTTTAGATATAGCGATAATGATCGATAAGCATTTTTCCAAGCTCATTGTGTAGTTTATGGATCGTCCAGAACAAACACGAGTTGTTTTTGATATGTATATTTTTTTTAATCTAGTTTTTAGTGTTATGAAAAATAATGGTCTATATAAGCATAAATTATTTAAACAATTTTGGTTTACAAAATTAGTTTTTGATTATATCTGAAAACTTATGTTTTTAAATAATTCTTTCTTTAAAAGATTTTATTTAATAAAATGCTAATGTTGTAAAATATCCCAGATCAACGAAACCCAGTATATTTAAGCTTTGGTATAACCGTTATGAGCGAACTTTTGGTTCCTAAACTTTTCCCTAAAATGTTTGTGCCTATTTCATTTTTTTTATTTTTTTATTTTAACATACAGTGTTACGAAAAATAAAGGTTTAAATGTGTGTGTCTTAGTGACCTGTTGCTTCATAATTTGTTGACATCGTGAAAAGCGGTCAAAAATGAGGAAGTTCAGAAAAACACTTTTTTCATTTTTTTGCCGACGATTCGACCTTTATTTTTTTGTAATTTACCCAAACCCTGAAGACAACCCGAATAAAGGTTGAAACGTCGGCAAAAAAAGGAAAAAAGTGTTTTTCTAAACTATCTCATTTTTGACCGCTTTTCACGATTTCAACAAATTATGAAGCAACAGGTCACTAAGACACAGGTTAAATGACACCTGAAGACACAATAGTAGTAGTATAGTACTATAATAGTAGTTTAAAATCACCATAGTAAGTTTTTCAACTTAAAAAAAAAATTATTTTTCGAAGTTCTTGCTACTAAAACCCTTATTTCACGAAGGTTTACAAGTCGAGAAATGATCACATCTTATTGCAAATTTAATGTAGTTTTCAATGGTATCAACGAATTTGTCCAAAACCTTTTAGTTTTGGAGTGATCATTGTTTATTTGAACCAAGGTTTCTTAAAATCTTAAATTTCTTAAAAAATCAGAAAAAGGGAATAACTCCGAAACTGTTGAGATTGGGACCGTAGTTAATTAGGACTTATTGGTTCCATTTTGAGTATAGAATCTACTGGCCAAGTTTGTAACACGAGTAGCCGAACACCCTGTGTACATTTTAATTTTTTATTTTATTATTTTTCAATGGACGTGTAAAAATAATGACGAGGACCCTTTTGTAGTCCGTTCATTCGAATATTCATAACAAACAGACTAACAAAACCCAATATACAGTCAAAAACAAAAAACCGAACACTCGTGATTTGTTGTTGATTTCAAATTATATCTACGTATTTTTATCCTTGCATTAAGTACAACATTCTTATTTTAATGTAAACGAAATTAAACTAGATCAGAAATTCATGAGTTTGGATTAAAAAAATATTTAATTACTATACTCAATAGTTGAAAGAAAATTCACCAAAACACCTGAAATCATATAGTGGTAGATTACAATTTATTAAATTTACTATTTTTTGGTCTGAGTATATTTTTCTTTTGGTATAGCCATTATGAGTAATAATCATTTTTCGAAACTCATTATACAGATCATGAATGAACCATTTGTCATTGTAAGTAATTCTTTTTCTATTTCATTTATTTATTTATGGTTTATTTATATGTAGTTTTTAGTGTTATGAGAAATAAGGGTTTAAGTTAACAAGGAATGAATATTTGGATTCGGTAAATACATGTTCATCATAAGAAAATTGTTGCTGGCACATTAAGAATAAGTTATACCTGAAAATTTAGTTTAAATTTATATTTTTAAACAATTCCTTCGATAATTTTTTTTTTAAAGTATGGTGATAGTTCAGTTTGTAAAATATCACACGCTGACGAAACAAATGCATTTTGGTGTAGCTATAATGATCGATAAGCATTTTTCCATACTCATTGTGTAGATCGTTAATGAATCCCATTTGTCATTGGAAAGTATTTTTTTTTTTTGTCTATTATGGTCAACATTATGAAATTAATGCTGGCTGGGCTCAATTCGTCGAACGGTTGAGATAAGACCCATTACACATTATCGCTGGTCCGTAGATTATCGCTAGTTCAGCCTTGGTTGTAAACGCCAAGTTTGAGGTTTGAGTGAATTCTAGCGGTGCTTTTGAAAAACTATGATGTGCTATCTAGCGATTATCGTACACATTACAGAACAGGTAAAATGGTAACTAATGTCAAACAACTATAAATTAATGATACACAAAGTAAACAGTTTAATATTTTTCCTTATATCATTAATTGATTATATTTATACACCTTTACAATCACAAACTATGCTTCAACTATGTATTTTATTACCAAGTTGTCAAATTTTTCTCGATATTCTAAAAACCAAAGAGCATTCAATTACCTACAAACATAAATTTTATGACGGGAAAGACCACTGATGGGCAAAATTTTTTCACGAATAACAAGATATATTCTGATCCGCAATGAAAAATTGTCCAAATATAATTGATATATTACTTTTATGTTGTTCGGAATGCTGGCATAATGTCTTTTGTATTGGTTTGAATGATATGTAATTTATGTTAAAATCCTGCTTTTCAGGAATTGAATAATTACCACTTTCCTCTTTTTTCAATGTTCTTTTTTTTATGTTTCCTTAACTCACTTTATAGACAATTTTGCATTTATTTTTTATTAATTTTTTTTTTTTTTAATCAAGGATCCATTATCAGACTTTCAACCCCCTTCATCAAGGCTTTGAAATGTCATTAATAAATTCACAATGTTTACAAATATGAAATCATGCTTATCAAGCACAGGCTCACTTAGTGGGTTGTTGAGTTATTCAAATATTTCAGCATTGAGCCATCTTCAGTGAAAAACAGGTCCACTCTCTACAGGTCCACAGTTTCACAGGCTCGCAGACCAAAACACATCGTCAACTATATGAATAACTACTTAAAATACCGAAATTTATGGTTTTAAACATAGTAACTCCGAATTGGATCGAGATCCACCACCCTTCCCTCTATATTGGAATAGTAGAATGTGTTTGAAACCATAAGTTTTAGTAAGTAGATGATCATATTTGTTAACCTTGTGAATTATTAACAATAGATTCAAAGTCCTGATCTCAGTCAATAATTACTGGTAATTAATTCTTCCTCTGGTTCTTTGCTCAATGGTGTTCCTCAAGGTTCAATCATTGGAACATCATTATTTTCCCTTTACATAATTGATATATCCCCCATCTCTTGTTACCATTCTAAATACCTCATTTATGCATATTATTTTCAGTTTTACATGCACTCTTGCTCATGCTATCCCTCTCTATATAATATATACACCCTTTCCCTTTCTCCCCTCTCACTAATTTTTTCCTTCGTGAAGGAATCCTATCGCTCTTGAGTTCACTGGGAGAAGTAGGAATCAAAAACAAACGGTCTTGTTATGATCCCAGAGCAAAGAGGACACTAGCCAGTGGAGGGTTCTCAGCAACTGCTTATTGTTATAAACATTGATCATATTATAATACAATTTATCATATATTACAATATTTTTATGAGAAAATTATGAAAATGATCAGCATTGGTTTATTGTCTATGCACCCATTATTGATATTTTCAAAATCATTCAACCACTTTTCACCATTTGTCCATGTGGTCTGTGGGGCGATGAACCTGCAATTTGATCGTTGCCAATCATTTTTGCCTTGGTCTGGTTGGCGTGTGTTTTGGCATTTGGCCATCTTCATTGTTGGGACAGGCCTAACCAGCAATGACAGGCAGATCAAAATGATCATTAATAAACAAATTAGAGGTTTATCACCCTACAGACTACACACAAAAATCTCACAATGCAAAATCCTAGGGAAAGTAAGATACAATGTTCCCCTATATTTTTGTTAATTCTAAATTTTTTATTGTAAGATTAAAGGTAATAAGTTTAAATGAGTAAAAGTAGGACATCTCAAAGAGAATGGAACTATTATCAATTATTAGCAATATTGTCTCACCAATTTAATTTTTGTTCCTTTTCAGGCAGAATTTCTTGATAGCTGCATTAAGACATTGGCAACACAAACTTTTATTTCCACGCCTTCTGTCACTATCAACAAAATATAAAATCCAATAAAGGTCACTAAAAACAAAACAATATATTTGAACACATTGTAGTCTTTTATTTTCTTATATATTTTATGGAAACAATTTAATAAAAACCAAACAGAGCAACATTTCTGATTTAAATAATTAACTTTGTAATTAATTTATATACAATTTGTAAATATTTAACACATTTATATAATCTTTTCTTAAACTAATAAGGCGCCCAGGGTGGAGTCATAGGCTGCGGATTTTGAAGGTAGGACATGACTACGGCTGATATTGACAACCTGAAATTTCAAAAATTAAACAAAATAAAATAATTTAATTTTGACTTTAAAAAAACTCCCTACATAAAACTGCTGATTATTTGTTTCGTTTCATCATTGACCCTTGTATTGGCAAAGCTAATGCAGGAACAGTAGAGTGCCACCCAAGCGCACCATTTCAGCTAAATGGAAAAAACATATGTAAATGTACATGTATATTCATCAAGGTGATATTCTTACCCTCATCATGAGGCCGCACATACTAAAAATCATCCCGAGAATATTCATATAATCAGGGGTAAGATCCTCAGCAGATGCATTATTCGAAGCTAGAGGTTTGTACCTAAAACATTAAAATCATTAAATAAGATTAAAGAAATTATTCAAACATTATATGTAAATACATATAAAATCAAAACTTTATATACATTAAAAGAATAAATTTTTGGAAAGTTCGCATTCTGCTCATCTGGTCTATCGTTCAACTACATAATTTCACAAAATAAATCTATATTATTGTAAATATATACCAGCAGTTAATTGAATTGGAAGACCCTTTCTTCTCCCAAAATCATTAATAACAAGGGGCTCATAAACTCACCAATTTACTAATTAATTTTGGTAATTTGGTCATTATTGATCATTTTGGTCTGTCTATAAAAACTAGTTTTGACTGACATACCAATCCAACAAGGATAGACAGACCAAAATGATCGATAAAAAACAAAAAAAAATTAGAAAATTAATTCTAAAAATCAATCTAATGAAATAAATCCATCAGTCACAACTTTCACACTAGTAAATACATTCCAATTTGTATAATGACATATTATCTAATATTAATATGTAATATGCAGGCAAAGATATAGAGTAGCCTTTTTGCTCAGTATTATGTATGTGGACTTTTGGCCTTAAGAATGAGGGTCAACATTATATGGCCTATTCTAAGTCTGCTGAGGATAATTTTTCTTCTACTACTCAGGAAGTGTTGCTAAATTTATTAATAGTCAAATACCATCCACTCCAGAATATATATAGGAAAATTTGGAATATTCTAATAACTCTCATGTTCTGTTGGTTTTAAAATTTATTTGTAAAACTCTACATACATCAGAATTATTACTCTGTGGACAAATAAATAAACATAATTTTACCTGTGTTCTCGTTCTGGCCTTTTTGGATCGTTTACGTGATTAGACGCGTGCATCTTTAATTCGCTTTGAACTCGGAGAAAATTCAAAAATTAATAATTACCAAATTCAATTCAAGTTTTATATTTGGGTGTTACTCTTCGCTAAGGTTAGCCAGTTGGAATGTTGGAATCGGAGGTTACTGAAAAACCAATGAAGTAACCACGAGTGACTTTCAAGTCACGATGTCGTCACAATAACTATTAATAATCCTTCTTCAAAGTATCAACGTTAAAACATTGCATACATAAAAATATAAATCCATAAAAAATCAATCCAGTTTATTAATTATTTATTTCAGTTGAAAATCCAAGTTATTTATAATTTCTAATTTATTTACATTTATGATAGTAGTAATTGTTAATGTATTTAGGCATTTTTGCCACATAGTGGTTGTGGGTACAAGATTTGGTACAAATTTAACAAAATTATGAGTAAAGATTAAAACTAACACTAATTGTAAGACTAAGTGCCATATATCTCCACATAACATTTAGGTAAATAGAATCTTATTGCTTTAGTTTCCAGCATAACAATGTCAATTTAATGATGTAAGGTGATCAACAATATATTTGGTAGGATCAGGCATCCTACATCTAGAATGTTCTAGTGTTGAAACTATGCCAAACTTTTGGTGCTTTATTTCACCTTCCTCAGAGCTAGATTCTCTATCAGTGTTTAAAATTGTTGTCTCTTGTTGACATGTAGAGATATTTTTCACTCTTTTTTTGTCATTTCTTATATTTAGTACGTTTTCAAAAAATAAATAAATGGAACTTATTACAAACTATTATCACAGACAAAATCAGAACGTAAACCTACAAACTAAACTCATTAACAATCATTAACAATCAAAACATTCATTGGACAACATCCCCGATTCTACCAAACATATTGTTGAACGACAATTTAACTAAGCTCTATCTACTTACAGATAATAAAAAAATTACTAATAATACACACAATACATATTATTTACCTAATAACAAATAATCAATATTACTAAAAATACATGTATCAAATAAATATAGCAAATAATAATAGTTCATCTAATAACAATCTCAATATTCTCTAGATCACTAAGAGTACTTATTTTAATTTTAACATAAAATTATCAAAGCAGAAAGGATAGGGTTGGAAGAACAAAGAAAATTTCAAAGCTTTAAAACCGATAATGCTATTTGTTCTTCTTTCTTTATACAGTCATAACAGTTCAAATTATCTTTTACAATTACATTTGTAGTATCATAAATCTATTATATTTTTAAAATGATGTACATACATATATTGTTCTAAAGAAAATTAATAACTTGGGGAATTTTAATATCATATTAAGTAATCTTGTGATAGTTAATAATAATTGTAAAGTTTTTCAAATCTAATTTAATAATTAAAATATTATGACAAGTATAGAATGCATATATTTTATGTTTTTGTATTTTAGTTGGAATGTTATTGGTTGTAGACGTCATCTTGTTTATTGGTTTGCAACCTCTAGTGTTCTCAGTTCTGTTTGTTGTTGCTTTTCCGGCTTACAAGCAATTAGCCGCTGTTTCAACTTATATTGGATATTTAATCCCTTAAATAAAATATGAAGAGAAAAGGAACAGAAGTTGTGGCCTATGCTACTGATCGGGGCTTAAAAAGAGCTTTCGAAGAGGTAAAAAATGTTAAACTATAGAAAAACTATAATATTACAATTTGTTCTTAACATAGAACTTTTCTTTTGTTCTATATATTGAGTTTTATGTGCTGCCACAATTAATTATTTTATTGCAATATAATAAGCATAGTTAGTATAGTTTTTGTGGTTGATTACAAACATGTAAGTGCATCGTTGATGAATATCTGTGTCCTATTGTTTATCTTATTGGTTGTTAACAATTTCTAACATTTTAATAATGTTCATCACTCCTATTAGAAGAGAATTATTTTATGAATTGAAGCTTTAGCCCATTTTCATTTCAACTGAGTCTTCAGTACATTGATTCGATCGTACAGATGGTGAAAGTGTGTCTCTCATCTTGACCATTCACCGCACCATTTTGGGTTTTATTATGGAATCTTATGCTATGTAGTACTAGTTTGAGATGATTTATGATTATGTGGAGTTCTTCTACCTGACCATGTGGACCCTATTATTGTTTAGATTTATGCGTCTTTGAAATAGGTGGTTGATTCGACTAGTTGGACTGGTGTCAAGGAATGTAGACTGTATGTATCCAGTGATGGGAATTCTCCAAATCCCTTCATGTGCAGTCATCTGCCCAAGCAGGCACAAGTGCTGTTCATGTTCTCGTCCACACTGTTTAACTCAATTCAAATGACACACAACTTGTCATTTGTCCTTCACACCAGTTGCCTAGTTGAGTAACTGAGTTCACATAGAAAACATTGACATTGCCAGTTTCAACATGAAACAGTTTATTGAAGAAATTTGTAGTCCTGCCAAATGGCCATGAAGTGTGAGGTGTATAGAAACAAAATAAAAAGAAGTGAAGCTTGGAAGGAAGTGGCACTTTCTGGTTTTGTAACAACGGATGAACCCATACTTTTCTTTAACTGGGTTTCCTCCTTGCAGAAGAGCAAGCAAAAGAAGTGTTCCTGCTTCATCAGGTTTTAACATCATACTGACCTTCTGTTGAGAAGGGTTTCCACAAATTGCCTGTTATGAAACAAGCCAAGAAAAGTCTTCACAAAGCAGTCGACTAGTTGAGAGTCAACAAGGCGACATAGTTAATTCAACCGAACCGCCTCGTCTGAAAGAAGCCTTAGTGAACCTATGATGGTTGTTTAGCTTTCACTCTGTAAGCGAACTAAAATGATATGTTCAACGTCCTGCCTTAATCGCTGTTGTTTGGCATACAGACACTAAAAACACAATCAAAATTGGTGGTTGCTTCATTGGTCTAGATTGGTAAAAATGTTACCGAATATCAAGGGACTGATTTGTAAAAGGTCCAACTACAATGGTTTTTTATTGTTAGAATTCCAGGGGCAACAGTGGGAATCAAATCCATGACTACAGGTTCAACAAGCTGAGAGTGAAACATTTGGCTACTGCAGCCCCCATCAACCATGTTGAATGCTTAAATGTACTGACATGATTGGAGTCAACCAAACTAGAAATTATACATATACTCAATTAATTATACAGGATTTTTTGAAAGAAAAATTTATATCACAGGCTGGATTCGAACCTATGACCTTCGGCTCAATTGTGGCATGTGTGATCTAAGCAGCTCAAGTGTTAGAGCAGCAGTGTATTGAGCCAAGGGTCGTGGGTTTAAATTCTGCCTGTGACACAAATTTTTCATTTAAAAAAAATTGTGTATAATTAATTGAGTATATGTGTCATTAAGAATAAAATGATAAAAAATAACACATTTATATTAAGCTAGAAATTGTTGAATTGTCTTAGATCCAATTTGTAGCAAGGTTTACATTTCAAACTAAACTTGTTTCAGCAACCTGGTGTTAAGCGTACGTCTAATTTAATGGCACCCATTGTGGCCCTTGAGGGCCAACAAGGAGACATTTTCGGTATAGCTTTCCACCCCGAAGGAAAGTACTTAGCTTCTACAGGCTTTGATAGACAAATTTGTGAGTATTTGTTGTTTTCTATTTTAAAAAAAATTATTTAAAAATTGTATTGAACAAATGTTTACATTTCAGTCCTTTGGAACGTTTATGGTGAGTGTGAAAACATATCAACACTTTCTGGTCATACGGGTGCCATCATGGATATCAGCTTCTCTACAGACGGCAACACGATTTTCACATGTGCGACAGACAACACTGTCGCAATGTGGGACATCATTTCAGGGCAGAGGATTAAAAAATTAAAAGGTAACAAAACACTGCAATAATAGAATATACAATAGAGCTTGTAACGGTATGCAGGGGTAGAAGCAAGGTCAGGAAGGAATTGTCATCGAAACAAAATTTATTCAGAATGTAAAAATAAATATAAAAATAGATAGATATCCTGCCAGTAAAAATTATATTTAAAAAAGAAGTCAGAGCTGTAGCAAAATTACTCTGGTGATGGATATCCAAAAAGATTGATGTCCAGCTGAAAGATACAGAACAGCAATCTTCAAGATCCAAGGCATTTATTCTTCTTTTGAGAACTTTTGGAAGAAGAAGAAAAAAGAGTTATCACCACTGAGGCTAGCCAACGAAGAGACAAAATCGGCCTGCAGCAGGGGTTCTACCCTTCCTGTTCTGTCTTTGCCCCCTTTTGCCTTTACTCTTTGTGATCAATCCTTTTTTTTTTAAAGATGGTTCCTACTCACATTAAGTTGTTTCGCAACAATCCGGATTTCGAGCCCTTTAGCTCATCGTCAGGTTGATGGGTTTCTATGGGGAGATGTGTTTGTAGAAACCCATCAACCTGACGATGAGCTAAAGGGCTCAAAATCTGGATTGTTGCGAAACAACTTAATGTGAGTAGGAACCATCTTTTTAAAAAAAGGATTGAACTCCACACTCACTCCATCATTCATAATTTCTATTACTCTTTGTGCATGTTTAAAAAAATATGTTATAAACTGAAATGTTTCATAGGTCATTCGGGCTTTGTCAACTCCTGTCAGCCAACCCGCAGAGGCCAATTGTTAATAGTGAGTGGTTCCGATGATTGCTCAGTGAGAGTCTGGGACCCAAGGAAGAAAGGGAAGGCGACTTCTTTAGTAAACCCTTACCAAGTATTAACGGTTTCGTTTAATGATACTGCAGAACAAGTTTTTTCGTCAGGAATCGACAATGAGATCAAAGTATAATTATCGATAGTTTCCCTTTTAAAACAAATTAAACATTTCATTTTTATTATTAGATTTGGGACCTTCGGACAAATGCAGTCGCAACAAAACTCAGAGGCCACACAGATACTGTAACCGGAATGGCGCTTTCGTCAGACGGCTCTTACTTACTTACCAATTCAATGGATAATACACTCAGGATATGGGATGTGCGGCCATACGCTCCTCCGGAACGCTGTGTTAAAATCTTATCCGGTCATCAACATAATTTTGAAAAGGTCAGTATGGTAAAATTATATCAAATTAGTGTTCTCACCTGAAATCAATTTTCTTCTAGAATCTTCTGAGGTGTTCGTGGTCACCCGATGGATCAAAAGTATCTGCAGGTTCGGGAGATAGGTTCGTCTATGTCTGGGACACAACAACAAGAAGAATTTTATATAAACTACCCGGCCATAATGGCAGCGTGAACGATGTGCAATTTCACCCTAATGAGCCGATCAGTACGTTGAAAATGTGTAGAACTATATTTTTTATAATGTTATTATTATTTTTGTTTTTGTTTTAGTTGCCTCAGGATCAAGCGATAAAACCATTTATTTAGGTGAACTTGAAGATTAAGTCAGTCAATATTATAATAGCCTGATTTTTAGGGATTAATGTAAGAAAGTCTTTTTTGTATAAATAAATAATTTTTATGCTAAATAATATTTATTAAAAAAATTAATTAAGCCTAAAAACCTAAAAATAAGCGAAAAAAGTTTAAAAAACTAAAAAATTGCATTATAGTGGTTAACTTTTGATTAGTGCACTTTAGTCGGAAGTTAGTCACAATCCACCTTGTATGATTAAGAGATCAGTGTTTGGACCTGGAACTAAATACAGCCCAGGGGAAAGTACGCTAGTATTTTCCAGGCTGAAGTCCATACAATTGAGAGATGTACTCACAAGAGGACCAGGTTGGTGTGTCACATTTTGGACCAAAATTTTTTTTGGTGATTCTATACTCCAAAATATTGGACATAGACCAGTTCTTGTGAATAGGCCCTGGTTTCGCAAAAAAAATTTTTGAAAGTTGAAATTTACCGTTCTATTTACTCAAATCAGCTATGTGAATATATCATTTTACAGAATTTTATATGTAGATTGCAATAAAAATTTAGCAAAATCTATCAATAACCAAAAAATTATTTAAAAAAAAATTTTTTTTTAAAGTAAACTAGGTCATAACTTTTTCCTTAAAACTAATATGAAATTTTATTTTAGCACCTGTAGAGACCCCTGAATATAAATTTTTGTTTGAATTTCAATTTATCGATTTTTTGACCCCTAAAATTTTTCTGATTTTTAAGAAGTCATTATCGGAATATCTTATTGTAGTGGCTATAATTCAAAAAGTGCTAAAAGGATTTTAACTTAAAACACAATTTGAAAGAAGTGGAAGGGAGATTTTTAACGAAATATGTACAGTAATCCCTCAACACTTGCTGTTTTGACATTTGTGGAAGTCTGATTTTTTATTTGCGACAAAAAAAATTGTGTAAATATTTAATAAAAATATTTAAATAATTTTTTTTGTATCGAAAATAATTCTTTAAAAAATTGTTCGAGGCTCTAATTGCTCTCAGAAAACCTTTGCCTGCTTTGAATTGTTCCTTCTTTTTCCTCAGTTTGTTTTATTCTCTGGTGTAATTTGTGTTGCAAAATGCCTCCACTTCCAAAACAAAAAAACCGCCCTGACCCTTGGTGAAGGAATACAAATTTTGGACATGTTACATTTTTTATGCAGGCCAAAGCTTTGTTCTTCAAAACAGGTCAGGGAAATTTTAACATTGAGGGACAAACTTATTAAAAAAAGCAATGGATTTCGACCCATTGTTAAATCGAAGTTTTAAGTTTAAAAGGGATGTCAAGGCCGCTTCAAATCCTCATGTGACAATTCTTAAAGAAATTAATTATTCGGCGAAACAGCGAACAATTATTATTTCTTTTATTATACATCATAAAATACAAACAATGAAAACAATTAACATGTTCAAACACGGTTGTCTTCTATTAAGTTTATTTTGAATAAACTTTTTCTTAGTTCTGAATTGTATCACTAATTTTGGGCGTCTTGAAACATAACCCTCCTTATAACAAAGGAAAACAGACAATATTCGCGGATTTAACATTCACGGCAGTTTTCTGGAATTAAACACCTGTGAATGTTAAGGAATTACTGTACTATAAAAATATATAAAAGATTTTTTGATAAGAAACTATTCAAAATAGGAAAGTTATTTGTCAAAAATTATCCTCTTTTTTTTAAATTGATGTAATAGTCTGATTTTAATGTTTGATACAGATATAAATTGCTATTCCTTTAAAAAGAATTATCACCCATGAAAATCAGTTTTCTAGATTGTGAGAAAAATTATCTTGTAGCTTGCACTATTAAGTTACGCAGGTCTTCGAAATCAGTCAAAAAATTAATTTACACCGATTTCTGTGAAAGTTGGCATCTGAGGGTTTTATAATGTTATGACAATGATGTCAAATCCAAGGTTTGACCATTTTCTGATATACTTTGCTTACAGAATGTTTGTTAAAATATGCAAAAAAAGCAGAATTTATCTTTTCCAGTTGATTTTATGATTTTTAACTTATACCAAATTATTATATTCTGCATTGTATAACATTTTTATGTTAACCAACAATGAAATTATTACACAGAAAAAAAATTTTTTTTTAAATATGTAAATAACGATTTATGCTCATTGAATTAAATTTACTTTATACTTATAATTTTTATTAATAAAACTTCAAATCTTGACAGGATCTTAACAAGATACTAAGGACTGAATGAGCATTTGAGGAAGATCGGTATAATCTGACACAGTGCATGCAGATTTTGCAAGGAAGCTGAGAAGATTCTAACACACCTACTAACAAACTACGGCGTTACATTTGCCTACAGGAGAAAGTGCATTGGTATATATAACATAACCGTATAAGAAATTCAACTGTTGAGACTGGGCCTACTGAGTAAAGTCCTTGAACTAGGACTCATCAGTATGCTGTAGGTACGGGGGATGCAATATCTCTCAATGTGCAGTATATTAAACCAACCTGAGCAAATCTTACATCTTTGTTGGAATTAGTCACAATCCACCTTCATTGATTAAGACATAAGGACCAAATTGCATCGCTTATGCTCAATCCATTGATATTATTCATAAAAGAAGTGCTTAAGTAAATCAATGTTGGGAAAAAGTTGAACATGCCATGTCGAGGGAAGAAAAGGCAAAATAAAGGTGTAGACCTCTTTCAGACGAGCTGATTTAGCTAGTTGCCTGATTAACTCTCATCTAATTAACTGCTGTGTGAAGGCTTTTCTAGGCTGGTTTCATAACAGGCAACTTGTGAAATCGACTTTTCTTCCCAACGGGAAATTAGAACCTGAGGAAGCAGGACAAGAAGGAAAAAAAAGGAAAAGCCCACTCGAAGAAAAACATGGGTTCAGTTGTTATACAATCTGGTGGCAGTTGTTATACCGGTGTTTTCTCACAACTACCACTTCATCTTCTTTTAATTTTGTTGCTATTGTTCTCACACTTTATGTCCCATATCAAAGGACGAGTATGAATTTCTTTAATAACCGTTCCACATTGAAACTTACAAGGGCAATTGACTCAACTAGGTGACTAGTGTGAAGGACAGATGTCGAGCTGTGTCAAGCCTCGGCGGATGAATCCACTGTGGGTGATTGGGTTTGGGCGGTTCCCAATCATTCCCTAGAGTTACTCTTGACACCTGTCTGTTCGACAAGTCGAATCAACTGCCTCATCTGAAAGAGGCCCTTGCCAAATGCTTGAAAAATTCTGCAAAAGGTAAGCTTTCAAAGGAGGGACACACCTTAGGAAGAAAAAGTACATATGTAGTTCCCATGTATTACCAAAACAAGTTCAAACGAGTTTTCCAAAACAGAATTAGGTGTGTTAAACAGAAGGCAACTTCCATTAAAAAAGTATTAGTTATAAAAGAGCAGAGAAGGTAGGCATTATTTTTCAACAGCTTTCAGCATACAAATTGTAGTTTTTTATTTTAATACATATATGTATTTAGTAGTCATAATTGACCATATTATTTATTTTAAATAATGTGTGGTAGTTAATGACCATTAATCAATGATTATTCGGAGATCATGATTCGGTCTGGTGTGATGTAGGTTTGAGAAAAATATTTCCTTTATCATGCCGACGTTTCAATCTTTATTGAAATCATCTTCAGGGCTAACGAGTTTGTTTTGAGAGTGCCCGACGACACAAGAATGACACAATTACACAGAAAACAAACATGTTGAGCACTGAAGATGATCTCAATAAAGATTGAACGTACAATAAAGAAAATGTTTTTCTAGAACCTACATCACACCAGACTGCATCTCACGATCTCCGAATAATTTTAATTAATTATACTTTTTAAGGACTTGGTTGAGATGAAAAAGCTAGTGTCATGAGTGGGATTCGAACCCACACCTTCGGCTAAATATGCTGCTCTCTAATCACTTGACTTATCGTGACTTCAAGACACTCTTTTTCATCTGAACTTAGACATTAGAGTAGTTAGTAAGTTAGCCTGTAGCCTTATTTAGGGAACATGCAACAAATAAGCGCCTTTCCTTCAGGAATTACATCCATTTTACACACACTGGGAATAAAAGAAAATATCTCATGTCAACATAGATAATTTGTAAGTTTATTATTCACAAATATACAAATACAGAAAATATTCCTTTCATCATCCTTTTCACTTATAATAAAGTGAGCACCCATCTTTTTTTTATATTTTATTTATTATTATTCAAATATATAAAAGTAAGCATTAAGGAAAAAATACAAAAGTACATAAACGTCTCAACAACACAACAGAAAAAAAAAAAAATATCGTCCTGTTGGTACTCTGAATAAAAACAAAATGTAAGATCTATTTGGAAGTAGAAGTTATAAAACCAAAACAATCAACCACCTAAGATTCATTTACTTTCAATAGGCTCCTTTTAATTTTATAATCAATTTTTATAGCATAATTAATTATTTTTATTTTACTAACATTTGTTTTTGTAATCTAAATAGGGACTAACATAGATTAATTCTGGCTTTTTACAATTTTTGAAAAGAAGAGATCACAAATATATTATTTTACAACTAAATACAAAATAAAATGCATGAATAAATAACAATTAACCCATAATGATAAGTGGTCTGTGTATATTTATGAAGAGGATTACTACAAAAATCAATTATTTTTTTATATATAAAAGGTGATTTCAGATTGCTAGATTTAAAAATGAAAACATCACAATAATACTGAATGGACCATATGGGGGTGGGGGGAAAAGGCTTAGATTGTGAGTGAGATGTTAAAACGTTTCGGCCTCCGGGAAAGAGGCTTTTACCACTTAAATGCAACGAATAAGTTTGTCTTCATTTCCGGTCATCTCATCGACAGGACAAAAGACTTTTGTATATATTAGTTTTATTATTTAAATATTAAGCTTCAAGATCGTATACGAAAAGAACTTCCCTACCACCGAGCCCGGCCTCGAGGAGGGTTTTATGCCCCTCCGTATCACACTGCAAGGTTCTTTTAGGGAAGTTGGTCGCAATCTCGAACACATCTGGAGACGATGGATGACAAAAGACAAAATTGTAAATATCCTGAAACAGTGGGCGCATTAAATCATAATTATTCGCACAAATATTTAAATTTTTTTTAATACAAATTATAAAATATTACCTTAAGACTATTTACTTTTGCAAATCTACGTTCTATCCTTTCACCTGAAGGCATTTTAAAAACAACTGATAGTGCATCTGGATCATTCTGTGCTGGCTCATCAGGAATTTCGGACAATTTATCTATTTTCGCTCTCCTTATGGCCTGCGAACAAAATGGAAAAAGTATTAACTTCCCAAATGAACTTAATTATTTAAATTTTGGTAGGATACACTTTTCATACATAAATAGTTTATTGTTAAACCCTGTTTTATTACAGGGGTAAGATATGCTCAAGATGCATCATGAAGAGCTGGATATTTATATTTTGCCTCCTACATGAGGAATGCCAGTTGAGCCATTAATGGATAAAGTAGATTCCAAGTAAAAGTTTAAAAACTAATATATTGGCTCATTCTTATTCCTGCCCAGCAAGTACAATTTTGCAGGAGGAATAGTTTTGATAATGTTGAGCATAAACAGAATGAGTAGAGCATTTTAGCCAATTACTAGATCATAACTAAGATACCTCATGAAATTAAAAATTAATTTTTGTTTGTACTACATCTAGTTCACCATATACCCCAGCCCCTCGGGTTTGACCAAAAACATCCATGATAGCTGTGCCTGAGGTTGACTATAAAACCCGGATCCATGATAGTTGTACTTGAAGTTTGAATATAAAACTCGGATCCGTGATAACTGTTCCCAAGGTTGACCATAAAACAGAGATCTATGATAGCTGTACCTATGGGTTGAACATAAAACACAGATCCTTGATAGATGTACATAAGGTTTACCATAAAACACAAATTCGTGACAGCTGTACATGAGGGTAGAACATAAAACACAGATTCGGGACAGCTGTACCTGAGGTTTGAACATAGTAAACAGATCCATGATAGCTGTACCTGAGGTTTGAACATAAAACAGATCCGTGAGAGATGTACCTGAGGTTTGAACATAAACCATCAATCTGTGATAGATGTACCTAAGGCTTGACCATAAAACATGGATCTGTGGTAGATGTACCTAAGGTTTGACCATAAAACATAGATCTGTGATAGATGTACCTGAGGTTTTAACATAAAACACAGATCCGTGATAGATGTACCTGAGGTTCACAATAAAACACATCCGTGACAGATGTAGCTGAGGTTTGAACATAAAGCACAGGTCTGTGATATATGTACCTGAGGTTCACCATAAAACACGAGTCCAAGATAGCTGTACCTGAGATTTGAACATAGTACACAGATCCATAATAGCTGTACCTACGGTGTGACCATAAAACACTGATCCATCATAGCTCTGTACCTGAGGTTTGAACATAAAACATTGATCCATGGTAGATGTACCTAAGGTTTGACCATAAAACACAGATCCGTGATAGATGTACCTGAGGTTTTAACATAAAACACAGATCCATGATAGATGTACCTGAGGTTTGAACATAAAACACAGATCTGTGATATATGTACCTGAGGTTCACCATAAAACACAGGTCCATGATAGCTGTACCTGAGATATGAACATAAAACTCGGATCAGTGATAGCTGTACCTAACGTTGACCATAAAAAAAAAAAAAAAACCAGATCCATGATAGCTGTATCTATGGTTTGACCATAAAAAACGGATCCGTGATAGCTGTTCCTGAAGTTTGACCATAAAACACAGATACGTGATTGATCCGCCTGTCCACTGACCAGAAAATATTTTAGAGATAGTAAAATAAGTCTTCACAGTGTTCAAAAAGTAAAATAATTAGTACAATAACTTCAGTTTGTTTAATATTTTTAATTAAGAGAAAGGTCACCTCTTTCTTTTCTTGTTCTCTCATCCTAAGCTCCTGTTCTTCCCTTTCCTCGGCTCGCCTCTTTTCCTCCTCCTCGATCCTTTTTCTTTCCTTCTCCTGGTCAGCACGGAGTGATTCCATATAAGCAGCATCCTGCTCTCGTCGAAGTCTCTGGTTGAGGCTTCTGGCAAGGCTGATAACAGGACAGATATCAATGAGTGTTCCTTTGTCCATTTTTAAATTATAAAATGTAAAAACAAAGTGTTGATAAAACAACAATTATGATAAAAAACGTGTAAGGTAAACAAAGATTCATTTAATTAATAAAACCTGTAGAGATGGAATATTTATACAATGTAAACATATGGTTTTTTATCAACTGTTATTTATAATACTAGGTATGACAAAGTAATATCAAATTTAGCTATTAAAATGCTCTTGAAAGGTCAAGATGTACCTCCGAGTTTGAATGGTAGTACAAGAAGCCTTTCTTTTCATGATAATTGTAAATTTATGTATATAAACAGAAAACAATTAATTTAAAAAATGTACATCTACTGACTACAAAAGCATTTCAGAAATGTGATTATTTGCATCTGTGGTTTAAATAGAGAAATTAAAATAATTACCGATCTGAACGTGCTGCATCCAAAAAACTCTCATTAGACGAGATCACAGCATTGAGCCTGCTTAGTACTTCAGCACTATTTGTTGGGCCTTCCAGTCTGGAAGAAATATATATATAAAATAAAAAGTAACACAAAAAAAAATTCTGCATCAGTGTCTAATTAAATTACCTGGCGATCATCACCATTCTTGATTCCTTGTAAGCAATTACAGAAAGGAAAGGGTATGTCGAAGCTTTCAGTGTGTGTGAAACTCTCTCACCCTCTCCACTCACGGTATTGCATATCCAGAACAACGTTCTGCTATTTAAATACTCAATCAAGGAGTTGTCTGTCAAGCAGTCCCTTTAAAATCATCAAACCAAAAATTATAACGGATTGCACCACAACATCCATTAAGTTATATTGTGATTCTGAGACAAAACAACCCATTTTTCCATGGAACTTCAGAGCTATGTATGGGAAGATGAAGAAGAACTCTGAGCCTGTATATAAGATAATCTATCACAATGATTAACTTAAGATAAGATTTATTTAAAACAACTTTCCGAATTGTTTTGCTTGATAGATAATAGGTGATTTGACTTGAAAAAGAATCCTTCTCAAAATAAGCAAAACAAATTAAGATATAACTACCTTTCATTTTAAAGTTTAAAGTCTATCACGGTGAAAGTTAAATTTACTGTTATTATTGACGTTAAAATTACCCTTTCTACTTTTAATTGTATGTTACGACAATTTACAATTTATTTGATCTTGTAGACACACAATTCCCTCAATCTTCTGATTTGGGATCTTTCTGATATTTATTACCTTTAGGTATATCTTTGAGTCTAAGTACCTAACACACCTCCAATACCTTTGGAAAAAATAATAACAAAACATAAATGTGGATGCAGAGACATTAAAATTGAAAGCCGTCAAAATTTTCTGTATAATGAAATGAATAATAAAATATATCATAAAAATGAATTTAAATTGAATCTATAAAAATAATTAAATTTTAAATTAGTGAACGTACAAAAGGTTTTTTTTTTCCAGACAAGAGGCTTTTTTTTCACAAATTTTCACAAAAATTAGTGATACAATTTTATATTTTATAAAAAGGTGAAATGAAAATGGAAATCCTTACCGGCAAAAATTAATGCAATCTTGATTTGTATCTTGATGTAGATAAACGACTAAAAATTTCAGCTCCTGTTTGGCATCGTTTAGTGCTTGGCTGTAGGAGCCTTGGTAAAAAACTGGATGAGTCCTTGAGAATGTGTCATTAAAATGATCAATGAATTTCAAAACATCTCCCACTGGGTCTGTTACTTCTGAAACCACATTTTGATATAAGAAACTTTTATAAGTAACGACTATTACCGAATCACTTACGTCTTCGTGGCTCTTTCCAGAAAATGCTAAATGCAAACTTGAGAATAGAGGTTATCGTATCATAGCAAAACTGAAAAACGAAGGAGAAAATGTATCCAAAGGGGCCTCCCCATCTGAAATTTAGAAAGTATCGTTATATAAATGAATTATGAAAGTCGAGTTTTTATAAAATAAATACCTATAGCTATCAGAAGGTGGAGAATAGAAGACGTGCTGAACGACTCCATCGTTGACTACTGACGGCGGGGCTGCATTCTCCGTTGCAAAAACGGATGGCCTCCCTTCACTTATGTTGAGCTGGTCTTGCACAGCCACTTCTAAATCCCATCCGTGTCTATGCAATGCATCACGGCATACCGACAGGTTATCAAGACCAGTCAGCTCCTAAATTACAGAATAAAACGTTATATATGCACATAATAGAGACTTGAACTTAGTAAAAAAAATTAATCCTTGTCCGACAAGAGTGCATAACATCCAACTAACAGTTGGGTATTGTGGAACAGGAAACAAACCACATTACAATAGTTTTTTTTATATTCTCAATTAAAATTTCATGAACTACTGGACTGAACGCAGAATCACTAGCATGGCATATACGAGCTGGATGTCCTAACCACTCAGCCACCACAGCCCCCGGCCTGAACTAATTATTAATAAAACAAAAAAACAAAAAAAATTCATCCATTTCAACAGACCATCTGAATCACTAAAACATGCAATTGCGTTTAAAAAAATATAAATTTACTATTCAATTAATCAAAAATTAATAATAGTATTTTCACAGCTCACATATTGCAGCATTCAAATCTAAAATATGTCCTATCCATATATTAGTTAATTAATAAAATTTATTAACTACTAAAATTTATTAATAATAAAAAAACATAGGAGAGTGGCATCAATATAATCTTACTTAAATGAAGCGATAATTTACAAAAATCAAAAGGTTAATCATATATACAATGAAAATTTTTATAATTGCATATATTAAATTAGTCATAAAAATTATGATGATAAATTTTTAATAACCATCCATCATACTTTATGGGTTTTTTGATAAGAGCAGATTGTGATTAGTGAAACAAAATAAATCTTCTATCCTCAGTATGGCCATTTAGATAATTTATCCATCGAAACGGTTCTACACAATTTTTACTTTGCCAAATGGCAATGGCAAAAAGGAGGGAAAATTCAAAAGGTGGGGTTGAGATGGGAAGTTAGTGTCCGAGTGGATCGAGGTCACGATAGCTCAAGTGGTTAGAGCAGCAGCGTATCTAGCCGAAGATCGTGGGTTCGAATCCTGTTCGTGCCATTGACTTTTTTATCTCAACTAAAAACCTTAATTAATTGTAACAATTTTTACTGTTGGTCAGCTTTTATAGTCGAAAAAACTACCAAATTTAGAAACAAGTAATGTAAAATTGCTATTAATTTTTGTAAGGTTAAAAAGAAATCAAAGGGGAATATACCTTGAGATTTGATATGTCAATAAATAAATATGTATTACACATTATCCATGTTTTTATCTTTATTTAAAAAACACTTTAGTATTCATACATAAATAAAATAATCTAAATTAAAAAAATATAAGGGAAAACTTTATGGAACTAAAGATTTACCACAGCAAGTGAAATGAATCGGAGACAACTTTTTGTTGTTGGACCAAAGGATTTTTCAATAAAAAATATAATTGTAAATATTCTATTGTCTTACACTTTACTGCACTTATTTTTCTTTTGAACAAACACGATTAACACACTTTAGTCTAAAAATTTTCAAAAGATCAGATAAAAAAGAAAAAAGTGTTTTTATTCATATGGATCAGTATAAATCCAAAATTGCTGCTCACAATATTAACAATCGTATTTTCTAATTGACTCACTGGCACAACATTTTATATTTTGCCACTGCAAATCAGGAAAATGAATAATTTCAAACACTATGAATTTCATAATAGTCATTCATAATTTCATATTGTTAATGTTGTTCAATAACCAAAAGCTCACTGGATATTAGTTCCAGACATTACTTGACCATTGCTAAGATAGGTGAACGATTTTCATAAATCTAAGATTTTTGTTTGAGATGAAAAAATAGTGCCACGAGCGGGATTCAAACCCACAACCTTCGGCTCAGTAAGCGCCACTGCACTAACCACATGACTTCGATCCCCTCAGCACTTAACTCCTCATCTTCATCTCAACCGAAAACCTTAGATAAAAAGAATAATTGGCATAATTAATTTGGGTAATAATTTCAAAAGTTGAAGGGTTTAAAAATGTTTACTAAAAGAAAGGACAGAAGTCTTTCCTTTTAAAGTTAACATACCAGATGCTTAGAATTTTAAAGGATGATTTGGTTTTATACAGGACAAACATCAATAGAAAGTACACAAAACGATCAAAAATAAATGTAAGAGCCAAATTTAGAATTGGATGACCTCAGTTTTGGAGGCAATCCCAGCGATTAAACTGGAGGTCAAAACATGTTGAATAAGTGAAAGGACTCAGGCTACTTTTACCAAGAATGTATACCTAGCAAAATAAATAAAACAAGATGAAAAGCATAAGAACCAAACCTGAAATTCTATGTTTTATTCTAACTCAAATCATCAGTTTTTGTTTAAACCAACAGTACTAGGGAAAAATCTATACTTAAGGTCATTTTTTCTTTTGCATCTTGTTACCATTTTCAGTTCATGCTAATTTAAAAAAAAGGATCAAATTCATTTGTTAGTATTGTTTAATTGTCAAATAACTCAGAAGAGATGATTCTCAAGCGTTATTTTGCAAGTACAAAGCTAAGCTACATGGTTTTTTATCAATGTCCTTATTTTTTGTAGGAAGTTGAATGAAAGGACCTGGGTCCTCTACATTTGAACTAAGACAGCCCATTTCATATTTTGAATTTTAAAGGATGATACAGTTGTCCACTGAGCAGCTTGCTTAGAATATAAGAAATAAATGTAAGAGCCAAATCTAGAATTGGAAGACTCTCAGTTTTGGAATCAAACCCAGCTGGAGGCAAAAACGTGTAGAGTGTTACACTTAGGAAACTACTTTTAAAGATAAGATTTTAATTTACGCTGTAATACAGTAATCGTTTTGCTATTAGACATATCATTTAGCTACCTCAAATGTGTTCTTAACAAGGGGAATAAAAGCTAATAAAATAAACAAAAAGCTCAACCTGGAATTACCTTATGTTTTGAGTTGATGAGTTGATGTCAAATGAACTTTTGATTAAAATAATGGATTTTTTAAATTTGGATTTATATAGGCTCAAATCTGCACACATACATACAAACCGGCCGAGTTGAGCCTATTAACCTCTCATAGTTCCCTGGCAATTCCAACTTTTGCCATTTTCAGTAAATGGCTGGCAGATCACAGTCTTATCCATCCAGCCACCAAGGTAGGACTCCAGGAGCCATCAACAGCTAGATCATTTTAATAACTAGAGCCAAGCACAAATCTTTTTGGGACCTGGGGACCTACTTGAGAGCCTGGGGTGGTGCTAGGTTAATTCAGCACCCAACGCATGTCGTTCCAAACCCATTCGTACTCACATTCATTCTTAAATACGTTCACTCCTATTTACATTCATTCAATTAGAGCAATGGAGTACTCCATCACACTTTACCAGCTTAATTAAGGCCAATGGGGTACTCGATATTTCGCCATAGACCTTCTAACATCAAACATTCACGTTAATAAATCTCAACACAAATTAGGTATACACAACTATCATTACTGCACACAATAGAACAACCCTGTTTCCTCCAAGAATCGGGAACAGGGGACCTAAATATTCGCTGCCTTGCTCAAGTACAATTCTCAAATCGGGTGGCATTCCTGCGCTTGCATTCTCTGATGGAGCTAAGGAATTGCACCTTTTAATTAGGTGGGACATATTGACACATATTGAGCAACTTTTTTCTGCATGCTGGATACATACGCGGGCTTTGACCCAAAAATAAGTGTCCGTGTGTCAACCTAGTAAAATAATGGTAATTAAGATCTACCTATCAGTTCAAAAATCCTTCTTGCTATGTCCATCTACATGATTTATTTGTACGACCTATTCTTGAATATGCCTTAATCATCTTGAATCCACGCTATTACGCTGATATAAAACTTCTTCAAACTGTTCAAAATAAATTCCTTCATTCATTATATTTCAAATTAAACTGTTTGATGTTTAAAATGATAAATCCTCTCATGCTCCCATCAAATCTTTCTTCAATATTTCTGATCTTAGCGCATAAGAAAATATTTTTATTTTCAAATTAATTAATAATTGTATAGATTCCCTGGAAATCCTTGATAAACTCCAATTTTATGTACCTCCATGCCACTTAAAAAATCAGAAAATATTTTTTATTGAATATAAAAGAGCAAATTTTTCTCTGCACTCTTCGATGCATAATGTGATGATAGAATGTAACAACATATGCAATACTTATTTATATTTTAGTGGTCAATTGACCAAATTATTTCTTTCAATTAATTATTCTTTCTATAAGGTCTTGATTGAGATAAAAAGTCATGTCACGAGTGGGATACAAATCCATGCCCTTCGGTACGCCGCTGGTCTACCACTTGAGCTATCGTGACTTTGATCCTCTTGGACACCAACTCTCCATCTCAACCTACAACCATTTGAATTTTCCCTCTTTTTGCCATTTTCAAAATAATGTCATGTAATCAGGATTGGATTCTCAGCGACAGTAAAACACTTGCCATTGAAAAATTTTCATTAAATTATTGTGTTTTTTTTATTTATATATGCCTACTCCTAGTATATATTTTGTTTAAATTCTGTGATATGAAACTGTGATTCATTTTTCTAAATTGAATTAAATCCAATATTTATTTATGGAACTACATTTCAATTATGCAAAATTACTTCCTTCTATTGACCAATGGATACTTTTGGGCCAAAGTGTGCGCATATGTCCAGCATGACGAGAAAGAGTTGTTACTGGGTGTTGGTCTGCGAGTCAGTGAACTCATTGTTGAACTGACATTGGTCTTCACTCATGGGTAGTTGAAATACTCAACACGTCATTGCGCCAGTGAGGAACTGAAGATGGTGTTTGAATAGTCTGACAAATTCATGAGTGAAGCGGATCCAATACTTAACCCAATTCGGGTTCAGCATGTTGGGAAACGTTGCCTGTGTGTTCCATCTAATGAAGGGTGCAATTCCTTGATTCTTAAAGAGAGCGTGTAGGAATTCCACCTGATATAAGAATTGTGCTTGAAAGGTAGTATGTAGGTTCCCCCAGTTCTACACTGAAGTAGGCGCAATGTCAAAATGTTTGAGTAGTTCAACAAATCCGTGAGAAGAGGATGCACTAAGAAATGCAATTCTGGTTCAGCACAAGCATGTAGGAATTTCTCCCGATGTGAGAATTGTGTTTGTAAGATCAGTGAGTATTTGAGTCCCCCCAGTTCCTCACTGAAGATTGTGCAATGCCAAAATGTTTGATGGTGTGAAGAGGATGAAATAAGTAATGCAATTCGGGTCCAGCATACAGAGAAAGGTTGCCGATGTGTTTCATCTAATGAAGGGTGTAATTCCTTGACTCCATATATAGAGCGTGTAGGAATTCCACTCGATTAAGAGCTGTGATTTAAATGTCAATATTTGGGTCCCTCCAGTTCCTCACTGAAGACGGCGCAACGCCGACACGCGTTTGAATAACTCAAAAATATTTATTTAAGGTGGGATTTGGTTGTATTTTATGCATTAGGCAAATAACATAGCCTTGAAAGCCCTCGAAAATGGAAATTTCCCACAAACCTAACAGTCAAAATGTGAAATATAACCAGAATTAAAAAAAGATGTAAAAGTCAAACCTGGAACTGGACGACTTTCTCCGTCTGTTCTGGAGTCAATTCCAGATCATCCATTTTTTTGAGAAATGGATTTTTCCCAAATGGGTCCGACGATCGGTTTGAGGACGTGGGGACCTGAGACAGCCCAGGGCCGAAGACACTTGCACTCGGATCGAGACTGATTTCCGAAAATTACTATTTACAAGAAAACTGGTTATTTTCCGGAGATGGGTTCAATTTTCCCTACATCACTTTTCCAGCCGTATTCTCGGTATTCGCAATCACAAGATCCCCTCTGCCGACTTGAGCGCTTATCTGCCCTGGGTGACATTCAAAAGGTCAATTCCAGACAAAGGAGATCGCCCTATCCCAAAGTCCAGAAACGGCTCGCCCAGCCCAGGGATTTATTTTTGAATTTCGGATTTTCTCTGGATGACAATTTAGGGTTTCGCGCCGGACGATTTATCGATCTGATTTTTTTTAACGATTTCCCTCTCACAAAGTAAATTCGAAATGTGTCGCTTCACCTGTGAACAACTCAAATTTCCAATTTCAAAACAGATTTCCCACTCATTGCAACACTATTCAATTCCAAAATTTTCCCCGCATATAACAATTTAAGGACAAAAATATCGCATCCTACAATCTAGACTTTAAAAAAATAAAACTCCAAATTACCGCCATCCAAAAAGCTGCCAACTATGTTTAAATACAGTAAAACTTTTATTATGCAAATATTAAAGAGAAAATAAAGAATTCTACGTCTTTGTTATGATGACTATGTTGGCAAAGTGACAAATGATTGTTCATGCCAAGTATTGAACAAATCCGAATACCAAACATGTACCAAACAACCTTCTTAGTTTCAGTTTTCTTCTTTGGGCAATTAATAGTTATTACCAACTGTAGAATCATGAAAATTTATTTTCAAAATTTATTCAATTTCATAAATAACGTAAAAAACAATGTTAGGTCATTATTATGATGAGTATTTGATAATGTGATAAATGATTGTTCATGCCAAGTATTGAACAAATCCGAATACCAAATGATCTTCTGGTTTCAGTTTTCTTCTTTGGGCAATTAATAGTTTATTACCAACTGTAGAATCATGAAGAGATCACGGTTTGACATGATTCACAATAAAACTCATTCAGTTTTGGAAAAAAACCACTTAGGTCATTATTATGATGAGTATTTGATAATGTGATAAATGATTGTTCATGCCAAGTAATAAACTAATCCAAATACCAAATATATACCAAAACACTATTAATAGTTTATTACCAACTATAGAATCACGAAAATTTATTTTCAAAATTTATTCAATTTCATAAATAACGTAAAAAACAATGTTAGGTCATTATTATGATGAGTATGTTGACAAAGTAACAAATGATTGTTCATGCCAAATATTGAACTAATCTGAAAACCAAATATATGCCAAATCACCTTTTAAATTTCAGTTTCCTTCTTTGGGACAATTATTACTTTATTACATTATTACATTATAACTGTAGAATTATGAAAAGATCACAGTTTGACATGATTTCAAATAAAATTGATTCAGATTTGTAAATAATAAAAAATTAATTTAAAAAACTTTAACCATGGGCATTGACTTTTGGCAAAATTTTATTTAAACAGAATTGGTCCCTGTTTTCTTCTTGACACAAATATCTTAAGTAAAGTGTTACAAGGAGATTACCAATTTTGACTTAATTTCAAATTAATTTATTTACATTTGTAAACAGTTTAGCTCCTGGATACAGCAAACGGTTCAATCGCTTTCAATAAAAATTCTAAGAGGTACAATAAACAAAATTTTGTTTTATAATTGGCCTTTGTATTCATTATTTTTGGAACAATTGCATTAATAATTAAACGTTTACAGATTTCACAGTTTGAAATGAATTTATTCACATTTGTACTTCTTAGGTTTGATGGGTATGGTGAAATGGTCTCTAATGTCACTCATGTACTCATTAATTACCGAAGATAGCATAAACAGTAAAATGTAAAAACAGACCAGGTAATCAATTGTCAATTAGTTCAACATTCGAATTCATTCTTACTTCAACATACTTTACTTGCAAAGATTTAAATTGTGATTGTGACTGTAGCATGCTAAAACAAGAACTTAACTGTCATCTTTTTTTGTCAGGACAGTGGCGACGAGCATTTGAAGAAGTTTTGTAAAACCATGTCTACCAAAACAGGTTAAATAAATGTTTCAGAATTTTAGTTAAGTGTACTGCTTGAGATTTATTTATTACATTATATATTTAATTATTTGATTTCATATCTTTAAAACTATATAGGTATCTGGACAGAACATCGATTAATTTTTTCGGCAAACCATGAAAATTGCCTACCTCGGGTTTTGGGCGTCCGGGTCACACCTCTCGCACAATTCTCATATCGGGTGGGATTTCTACACGTTCTCTCATAAAACCCTTGATCCTCAATTGGGTGAGGATGATCTCCCTTCTACGATAGTAATAGTTTTAACAAATTTAATATTTTTAATTGTGTAGGCAATTATTTGGAAAAAATCTTGTGTTCCAGGATTGATTCTTAAAACACAATAGACATGAATAAGCTATTCTGAAACTAACTGAATCAACCAAATTTTATTTTAATTTAATAATTAATAATTGTAAAGGCTGAAAGGTTGTTTTTCTGACAAGAATATTTTTTCGTCAAATATTTTCTATATACAAATATTAATAATGTGTTGGGCAATATTTATTACTTATTTATTATTTATGGGCATTAACCAAAAAATAAATTAGTTAAAAAAATTTCAATAAATTAACTAAGTGATTTTTGAAAGGTCTTCGAACTACCTCAAAACTGCTTACTCTTTACGTTTTAAAAATGAGCTGATTAACAACTATTAAAACAAATTCACATGGGAGTAAATAACTCCTATAGTGCAAAATAAGGCAAATTGAAGAAAAAAAGGAACGTCTCCATGTTCATTTTTCACTCAGGTTTGGGACAAGGAATATCTCTCCAAAACTAGCAAAACCGAAACAAATTTCAAACTATTTGCATGAAGAAAGATTCGCGAGGTAGAGTATAATTTTAAAATGAAATTTTATAACTCTTTTAAGATTAGTCAGCAATGTGCTCTTTTAAGCTTGACCGACTGATCTGAATTTGACATAATTACAACTCAGTTGGCAGAATCATGAGGAATCAACACCTACAAATTTTCAGGAAAATAAATATAGATGGTAAGTTTGTCATTTGTTATTGTATATCAGCATATTTAGTAACTAAACTATATTATAAAAAGTCTTATTGTTTAAATTTACAAATAATACCTTAATTTTCTGTTTAATTTTTACTTTATTCTAGGTAGCAAAAAAGTAATTGTGTCGGTTTCAGTGGTTTTGATTGTCTTTACTCTCATGTACACGCTATACAAAGGTAAGTCTTTTACATCTTAAAACTATATAAATTTATTAAAATATAATAAATCTTTTGAATGAATAATAAATCTTTTAATAAAATCTCTTTAAGCCTTTTTTTATTAAGATTTTTTTTTTATAGAATGCTTGATAAATTATATTTAAAAAAATTGAATGGATTTAATTTAATTAAATTTTACAACATAGATGCATAAAATGTTTGTATCTATTGTGAAAATTGTAAATTCGACAAAATCCAATTTAGAGTAGAATGCAATCTCAGCTTTCCTTAAGAAAAAAAAAAATCTTTCTAAAATATTAATCATATTTTGCCAATATTTGCATAATAATTGACGCTGTAACTTCTTGGTACTTGTCAGCAAACAATTTTTTCTATCCTCAATTATTCCGAGGAATATCAAGTGCTCTTGGGTAGTGTGAATGTTGTCTGGTGTGTGGATGTAATTTATTAGCGTAAATGGAAGAGCATATCCTCAATTCTCTCGAGGAATATCTAGTACTCTTGGGTAGAGTGAGTGCTAACCTGACTATCAAGTTTTTATCTTGTTTCTGTGTAACTGTGTTTGTTATTTGTCCTATTTTATCCACAATTGTCGATGCCCTGAGGTACAGAGAGGCTAGCAATAGGACAAAGAAAAGAGAGAGTTGGTTACTGTTGTACCATAAAATATCGTAAACCACCTGGAGAAACAGAAAAAGAAATAGTATTAAAATGCGAGAAAGGTAAGAAAAGAAAAGAAAAGCAAAGTTAATGAAGAGAGGGCTGGCGATGATCTATATAGTTGCCAGCCCTAAAACTAAAAAAAAAAAAAATTCTAACAATTTGCAAATAAGAAAGAATTAACATAATCCATTCCATATAATTGCATAATGTGAATGCTGTGATAAAAAATAATAATGTATCATTCATTAGATATTAAGCAGTTTTCTTAGACAGATGTGGGTTATATTTGTCTGAGTTTATTTGCTTTTGATCATCCTAGTCTTCTTATCCTTGCTGATTTGGTCTGCCTTGTAGCATTTCTGTATCTTCTGTCCTATTATGTCCATTGTGTCTTTTTATAAGTTTGTACCGGGCAAAAAATCTTACAATATTCTTTCGATGGAATACCCTCTCTGTAAAGTAGAAGTTTTTATAACAATAAAATTTCTCAGCTTACAAACTTCGAGTGTAAGTATAGATAAATACTGATATTTTTAAGCATGTCCATTAAGTCAAGAAACTTAATTGTGATTATTTTTTTAGCTTGATCATCTTCGATAGTCTGCCTATTCAATCTCGAGTCGCTGAAGATGGCAAAATACACCTGATAGACAAAACCAGGGAGAATAGGCAGATCAGGATGATCGGACTATTAAGCTTTAAGTTTATCACACTACAGACCTCATCACAATGTTTATCAATTTATTTGCTCTTTGTACCATTTCATCACGTAGATTTTTTTTTAACACCTAACAACCTGCTATTTTTTTGTTTTAGACAATGGTAGTTCAACAAATACAGTACAGAAATGGCAAAAATTGGATTCATTCCACTACGGCGCAGTACCACTTACAAGACTGAGACGTGAAGCAATGAACAGTTTGAAAAAAGCACAATTCCACGGATGCTGTGGAAAAGAGTGCAAAGATTTTATGGAAAAGTTAAATTCAAATACAACGCACGTCAATGAAAGTAATGTTCTCACTCAGATGCTAAATGAGTTAAAGAAATTGAACAAACAGATAAGTTATATGTTGAACAATTGCATGGAAATGAAAAGAAATAATTCCGTACATTATACCGAAGACAATGATGAATACGATTCTGCACCTTCACAAAACGATCTTGTTTATTCACCTTTGTATAATATACCCGCTTCTGGCCCAGGTGAAGAAGTATCGACTGGTCAACAATTGACACTCAACATGCCGCGCCGTGTCTGTGTTGGAGGTGTTTGCTTTCTGGAACAAGACTGGAATAATTTTCAGAGCAGTCAGCAACACGAATCAATGCATATACCGACAGCAATTGCATCACATAACCCTTACTACTTACCGACTTATGAAGGCTCTCCAATCGTTTACTATAAATTTTCACCAGTTAATGCTTACAATCCTACGCCTCAAGTCAATTCTCCGGTTTATGGTAAATATTTACATAGGCCTATAACATACCAGTTTCCTTCAGTCCCAGGAGTTTCTGAGAACTCAAATGTAGCTCAATTTGAACCAAGATCGAGCAAAGGAAGACAAATAGATGAAAATCGGACAAAAAAACTTACCAACAAAATTGAAAAACCTAAAGATGGTAAGTGTTGTAGCAATTTTTTTTTTGTTATAATTTTTCAGTTATTACTCAACCTATGTTACAACGTTAATATAATCTTTGGAACAATAATTTTTGCATTTATTCCAGCATTAATGAAAATGGTGCAATTAAACAATTAATTGAATTATTAACTAAGCAATAATTTCCTTAAATCAATAGGCTCACTAGCTTATTCAAATTATTTCAATTTATGTGAAAATCTTAATTTTCAGGATATAAAACATTTAAATACTGTGGTAATGGCATAAATAACAATGATAAGTTGAAGTGTAATAATGTAGATGGCTGTAAAGGTTGTTCTTGTAAAGATCGGCTCAGTGAAGCTAAGCTGTGCGACGGATTCTTTGATTGTCCTGGTGGTGAAGATGAACAAGGATGCTTCGGTATTTAATTTAATTTTAATTTGCAGTTTTGCAGTTTTTTAAAATAATTTTTATGCTTTTAAAGGGTGCTTAAATGCACAGTTTAGCTGCGGTGAAAACGAAAGTTCACAATCTACATGTTTGCCAATGGGGAAAAGATGCGATGGTACAGCAGACTGTCAAAATGGAAAAGATGAATTCGACTGCAACAAGATAAAAATTGAAATTGGTCATGGGGATGTAAGTTCAATATATTATCCAAGCCATATTTTTTATTAGCTTTCTTAGTTTTAACTGCTATAAATTATATTGTTTAACAATTCAAACAATTTATAAAAATTGTTAAGAAAAGTTCTTGGCAACAGTAATTTACCTTTAAGAACATTAATTTAATTGGTAGGTCAATATGAAAGAAGATACAACTTTTCTATAAGAATAAAACACTGGCCAGAGAAAATGTTTAATTAAATTATTAAGTTTTTTATTATGTCTATTATATAGCTATTGATAGATGAACACTTTCTTTTGGGGCAAAGCGTGCACATGTGTCCAGTGCGTAGAGAAAGAGTTGATACTGGATGTTGGTCTGGAAGTTGGTGAACTCAAGCTGAACTGGCATTGGGTCCGTCTTCACTTGCGAACTACTCAAACACGTCATTACACCAATGAGGAACTGAAGATGGTGCAATGCTGAAATGTTTGTGTAGTTCGACAAATACGAGAGTGAAGGCGGATGCTATAAGTAACCCAATTCCTATTCAACATGTAGAGAAAGGTTGCTTGATATATTCCACTTAATTGAAGGGTGCAATTCCTTGGCTCCATATAGAGAGCATGTAGGAATTCCACCTGATATGAGAATTGTGCTTGAAAGGTCAGTGAATATATGGGTCTCCTGTTCCAATTCTTGGAGGAAACAGGGTTGTTTTATTGCATATAGTACAGATATATGTCTTGAAGGGAGTGTTGAAAGTGAATGTATTTATTAGTGTAAATGTGTAGTGTAAGAGGGCCAATGGCATAATATTAAGTCATTGAGCCTAAATAGATTAGTTATATATGTGTAGAGGGTGATGGAATAATATCGAACTCCCCACTACCCTAATTGAGTGTATGGTAAATAAATAGGGAAGAATTTATTTAAGAGCGGGTGGGAGAGTAAATGGGAGACTGATGTTGGGGGCTGAAATGGCCTAGCTGGAGTCCAGCATCAGTGGCTAAGAATGAGGTCTGATCCCAGACTGCCAACATCGGAGGTGGGTGATTCCAGGCCTGTGATAATTTATCAGATTAATAAATAATAAAAATTTGTTTACAATATTTTACATGCACATGTACATATAATATTTGTAGCACCAGTGACCCCAGGAAAAATCTTTTCTCACTCGTAAAATTTTTATGTACAATTGATATTAACTACTTAATTAAATTAAGTAGTTGGGGAAAATCAATAAAAAAAAAAAAAAAACTAAACCTACTGCTAAATGTACTTTACATTAGGCCCTAAGGCTTTTGACCTCTCAACCTGGTCCCTGATAGTCTTATGCTTGGCTCTGGTTATTGAATTGACCTAGCTGTTGATAGCACCTGGAGCCCTACCTCAGTGGCTAAACAGACCCTGATCTTGGAGTACCAACACCTAAGGTAGAAATTCTCAAAGCCTGCCAGTAACTTATTGTAAATTACAAATGCTAGAATTGAAAGTGGGCTGCGAGAAGTAATGGGCTCAACTCTGTTCACATGTGTAGATGTACAGATTTAAATTTATATAAATCAGTAATTAACTATCATTGATTTACTCAAATCAATTCCTGTATGATATGGTATGATATATCAGTCTAGGAATAGAACATAGATTGCATTAGTCCTAATACTAGTTGATTTTTCTAACATCTTTGATTCTATTGCATATCAACTCTCATTATTATTCCTCCATAGATTCCAATGTGTACCTAGCAATACTGGTAATTCTTCCTCTAGATCTTTGCTCAGTGGTGTTCCTCAAGGTTCAATCGTTGGACTATTGATACTTTCCCTTTAAATAAATGATATATCCTCCTCTCTCTCCTGTTCCAAATACCATCTTTATGTAAACGATTTTCACTTTTACATGCAGTATAAACTAGCTGAATTGTTGGCTGTTACTGTACATAATATTTTATAGATAACTTGCTTTGTGTTTCTTTATATAGGATAAAGGATTATATAGGATATGTTGAGAGTTGTAATATGTGTAGAGGGTGATGGAGGAAAATCAAATTCTCAGCAATCTTGAGTGTATGGCAAATAAATAGGGAAGAATGTATTTAAGAGTGAGTGGGAGAGTAAATGGGAGACTGATTATGTTGGGCTCTGAAATGACTAATACTGACGTCTGATCCTGGACTTGAAATTACGTCTCATTGTGTATGAATGCACCTGCATGAGTGTAGCTGAGCTTATAAAATAAGTCATCAGTAAGCAGTACAAATTATACATATTGCTAATACTAGTTACAAAATGGTCAGTTTTATTAGAATTATTACTATATATTATTACTATCAATTATTACTTGAAATAAATATTTTTTAATTATTATACTTTTATTTACGTATTGCTATATACACTACAAAATCAGTCAACAAATTAACTTGAACTTGAATGAATTAGCTTAAATTGTGAAATTAAAGTCATAATAACTTTTTTTTCATGAAATGTCATTGCGATCTTTACGAGGTTATGAAAATGTTGCTTGATCAACTTGGTTCTTTATATTCTTGTTGGTTTTGTCTTTGAGGACTATTTTTTACATGCTTGTCACTCCTTTGCATTGTATAAACTTAAAAAGTGATAAAATACCAAAACATATATATAACAGGACGACAAAAATAGCAAGAATACGATAAAAGCCAGGATAATTGGGATGTTCAAACAACAGAATTATTTTATTATGGTATAAGATGGGAATCTTCTGTAATTGCAATTGTCTTAGTATGTGCTATTATTTAGGTTGAGCCTGTTTCATACGGAAAAGGATTTCTTCACAGAAACTTGCATGGAAAATGGTACCCGGTATGTTCAAATGATAATTTCTCCAATTTGGCACACATGGCATGTGTATCTGAATTTGGAACACTAAATAGGTGATTATTATTTATTATTATTTCTTAATTACAACAATCGTGCTTGATTAATGTATAAAATTTAATTCAGACAATTGACCAATGAATTGAGAGTATTTGAAGATCAGTACAATGGTTGGTTTGTTATCGAAAACTCGACTGGTCTTCAGCTTGTTGATAAATGCGGCCGGAATCAGGCTTCTTGGGTTGAGTGCCCTGTCAGTTGTGGTATGAGATCTTTGCGGAAATTCTCCAACGAGGACGGCTTTCTTAGGTCAATCCATTTAATTATCGCCCGTCATAATGCAAGACTTATCTTGAAATATTATTTACAGATTTAGAAGGAATGTTACTGAAAATCAAATGAATGATCGACACAATTATCAAGCGTCAAATAACTTGCCACACTTAGGGTATTAATTTAAGAAATACGTTTACACAGTAATTTCAATTTTCTTCAATTTTAGGAAAATTGGTGCATTGTCAGAATTGGACCGTGGTAAAAGGAAAGAGCCGAGAATAGTTGGTGGAGCTAAGAGTGTTCCCGGTTCTTGGCCTTGGGTGGTTGCAATTCATAAAAATGGAATTTTTCACTGCGGTGGTGTAGTTGTAACAGACTCCGTCATCTTAACAGCTGCTCATTGTGTTGAAGAGTGAGACATCATAACATCGCAACCAGTAATGGAAAAATTATATAATTATATTGTTAAAAAATATATTTCAGATATGAAAATGCCTACTTTGAAGTGCGTGCTGGAATTCATAGAAGATTATCTTATTCGCCTCAAGAACAATTAAGGATCGTTACAGATATTGTCATCCATGAAAATTTTAATGGGTAATTTTATAATATAATAAACATTTTAATGGATAATTTTATAATTTTCCAAAATAATCAATTTACAAACATTTTTTAAAACAATCAGTGTACCTATTAGTCAAGAATGACTATTACTAGAATTTCTTATCTTAAAAAAAAGATTTAATTATTTCAATAACAAAATTGCTTAATTATTTATTGAAATTTATAAACTACACAATTTGATCATCTCTAATCATAACTGCCTATTTATTTTCTCTTTATGATTTTACAGTGAAATATGCAACAAAATGTGTGTCCTGAGAAATCTGGATAATCAGATTTATTCAAATCTTTTTTTTTTTAATTGAACTCCTACAGACCAAAGATCTTTCTTAAAAACAACATTTTATAAAACAAAAATCAATATTTTCTTTCAGCACCAACTTTGCAAATGATATAGCAATTTTAAGTGTAGACAGGCCATTTTTATTCAATCGATGGGTCCTTCAATGCTGTTTACCAAAGCAGAATTCGTTTAATTTTCCCAAGCCCAACTCTAAATGTACAGCTGTTGGATGGGGAGCAACAAAAGAAAATGGAATAGAATGTATGAACAAAAAATATTTATTGACATTAAATTTAAATTGTTCAATGATTTTAATTAATTTTCAGCTGATCACATGCTACAAGTGGAGTTGAATATATTCCCTGATTGTAATCACAGTAGCGACAGAAAAAGTAATGACATATGTGCCGGTTTTAAAGAAGGTGGCAAAGACAGTTGTCAAGGGGATAGCGGCAGTCCTTTATTGTGCCGGTAACAATACCAAAAACATAGAAAACTATCTATAAATTATTGAATCAATTAACGTTGCAGGATTGGTAATTCTGACCGATGGTACATCGCAGGAATTGTGAGTCATGGGAAAGGATGTGCTAGGTCTGGAGAACAGGGGACATACACAAGAGTTTCTAAATACATTACATGGATACAAAATACTATTGGTTATTTTTATAAATTTTAAAACTTATTTCTATAATGATCATATCCATCAAAACTATTTTTTTATTATTTCAGAAAATATAAAATCCATGGAAATAAAACCACAAAACAAATGCCCAGGGTATCAATGTAAAAATGATAAATGCATTCCCAATTCAGAATGGTGCAACGGGTTAATTCAGTGTTTACATGGAGACGATGAAGAAAATTGTCCACAAATCTACCCTAAGAAATATATTGTAAATAACGAAAAAGTGCTTCATATTGTTGATGTGAGCGCAGAAGATAATTTAGATGAAACCTCTATCCCGAATTTAAATGAATACAAATCATCAAACAAAATGGACAAAACATTTACAGAAGCGCACATCGCTACTGACTTCAACGAAACAAAAGACGAAAAAGCACAAAATGTTAATTCAGCTCGTGTTTCAAATGTTAAAAGTCCATCCTACGATCAACGAGCATCTAGTGGCAGCCCTACACTCGCAGATGATTTGCCAAATGTCACTGAAAAAAAACAAATCACCATGCCAAATTTAAATGAAGACAAAAAATCAGACAAAATGGATCATACATTTAATGAAGCACCGATTGCTACTGACATCAACCAAACAAAAGAAGAAAAAGTTAATTCACCTGAAGTTTCTACTGCTAAAAGTTCATCCTACGATCAACAATTATCTAGTGGCAGCCAAACACTTGGAGGTGATTTGCCAAATGTCACTGAAAAAACAGAAATCACGATCCCAAATTTAAATGAAGACAAACAATCAAACAAAAAGGATCATACATTTAAAGAAGCACTGGCTGCTACTGACATCAACCAAAGAAAAGAAGAAAAAAATAATTCAGCTCATGTTTCAACTGCTAAAAGTTTATCCTATGATCAACAATTATCTAGTGGCAGCCATACGCTCACCGATGAATTGCCAAATATCACAGAAAAAAAAGAAACCATCATCCCAAATTTAAATGAAGAAAAACCATCAAACAAAATTGATCATACATTTAAAGAAGCACCGACTGCTACTGGCATCAACAAAACAAAAGAAGAAAAAGTTAATTCACCTGAAGTTTCAACTGCTAAAAGTTCATCCAATGATCAACGATTATCTAGTGGCAGCCATACGCTCACCGATGAATTGCCAAATGTCACAGAACAAGAAGAAACCATTATCCCAAATTTAAATGAAGACAAACCATCAAACAAAATGGACCACACATTTAAAGAAGAACCAACTGCTACAGACATCAACAAAACAAAAGAAGAAAAAGTTAATTCACCTGAAGTTTCAACTGCTAAAAGTTCATCCTATGGTCAACGACTATCTAGTGGCAGCCATACGCTCACCGATGAATTGCCAAATGTCTCAGAACAAGAAGAAACCTTTATCCCAAATTTAAATACTAATACTAAAGTACCGACTGCTACTGGCATCAATGAAACAAATGAAGAAACCGCTCATGTTTCAACTGTTAAAAATTCATCTTATGATCAACGGCCATCTAGTGGCACCCATTTACAGAATACATTTACAGAAACTCCTATGACTATAAATTTCAATGAAATGACAGAAGAAATAGCAGAAAAATCTAGTCCAAACAACATTTTAACAGCCAATAATGAAAGTCATGTATCACGTACTAGTGATAGTCAAATTTTGGTTAAGGCTGTAGAATCAGAAACTACAAGTCTCCCTCCAAATACAGAATTAGTGGCAACAGTAGATAATATTGAAAGTCTAGCAGGTAGAAATGTTAACGGTAATCTTCCAGAAACAAATATCCTTTCAAGTCACACCAAGAAATATGATATTAATACCCGTGGAGCTGTCAATAAGTCTATGACAACAACTCCACAGAACATGTCAGTTGAATTCCCTTCTAGCATTTACCCATCCTTAATGTCCACTTCTTTTGCTGATGACAAAAGAGTAAATACTCATGGTGAGAAAAACTGTAAAATTTCTATGACCAGAGTACAGTTAGAACAAGGGACAGGACATTTCTTCAACTGTACTAGGTAATCAATACTATTGAAACTTTTTAAAAATAATGTTTTAAAATCTTTTGTTTACAGAATAGAACAAATGATATTTGAAAATCGTAAGTGTGATGGAATTGTAGACTGCATTGATCTATCAGATGAGTTTGATTGCTCTTGTAGAAGCAGACTAACAGTAGCATCGCCCAAACTTGTTTGTGATGGGAAAATTGATTGTTTTGATCAAACTGATGAACTGTTTTGTCCAGGTGGATAAATTAGTTGCCTTAATCGATGATGTCTCATAATAATTTAATCTAAACATAAATTTATTTTAGACAAGTGCAATGAGACTGAATTTTATTGCATCAAAAGCAAGGAGTGTATACCTTTAGAAAAAAGGTGTAATATGGAATATGACTGTAGGGAAAAAGAAGACGAGGAGCTTTGTTGTAAGTATTCTACATTTATTTATAACTTGGGTGATTCAAATAACTTTTTGTGTTTATAGATGCATTAATTGAAGACCCACCTTTAAGCAATGGCAGGTTAAAACCAAATATACCACACTCTCTTAAAGACAACGCTGATGTAGATTTACTAAGAAGCTCTGGTTTTGTTTACCATCTGAACGAAATGAATTGGGAACCATACTGCATCCCGGAAGGGCCCAATGCTGTATCCCTTTCAATTGTTTTGAAAATCTGCAATAGCCTGGGATTTCAGTAAGTTTGATTGATTCTGCTTACGATAAATATGATTTACTCTTCTTTTACTTCCAGAGAAGGTAGTGTTTTAATATCAGAAACTAGAAATTCCGAAGGAGATTATTGCAAGGTATTAAAACTGAACTGTTCGTATTATTCCAATATTGACAAGCAACCATGGCGAGCTGTAATTCATTTGAATAACAAACCTTTGGCATTAGGAATTTTAATAAAACCATCATGGGTTTTAGTACAGCTATCGACAAATGATACGTAAGTGGTTATTATTTATATATTTTATAATTAATAAAAATAAGTCCTTTATTACATCCAAATTGTTCTTTGGATTTTTTTTCTAGAACAAATTTATATGCAAAATTAGGCTACTTACAAGTTCAGAATGATATTGTTGGCTTCCATGAGCAAAATATTAAAGTTGATAATGTCGGCTTTCTACCTGTGGATTACAAAGACAAACCAATACTTATATTGAAATTGAAGAAGAAGTCCAATATTAGCCACAATGTTCTGCCAGTTAACTTTCACAAATTGTACGCATACATTATATATTTTAAAAAAATAAAGGTTTTAAATTTATTTTGTCTTCTTTGCAATTATTTGTATTTTGAGCTAGCCATTCAGAACGAGACTACTATAACAATGTCTGCATGGCTGTCGGGTTGGATGCAAATTATAACGAAGTACAGGTACAGCTTCAATTATTGGGAGATTGTGAAACTGGATGGAATTGCTTTTTAATACTTAACCAAAATAAAAACTGCAAGGTGAGTATTAAAATAGCAAATATATGTATTATATTACCCAACGGTTTGTTTTTATAATTATAGAAAATTCGTGGCCCAGTAAAGGGTTTTGTTACGTGTAAATTTCATCATGGTGCCTCTTTAGTTTCTTTCTTCGAGGAAAATGATGGCTTCTGCTTAAAACGCAATGAACTTAAATACAGGGATATTAGGATCAATCAGGAAATGATTGAAAATATAATATCTGGTAATGTCTTTTGTATATTTACTGTGTTTTAGTTATCACTTACATTCTTCTTTAAAAGGGTATAAAATCAACTGGCTGAGAGCTGGCAATGATTCTTGTGACACTGTCAGATGTGAATGGGGCAACTGTTTAGACTGGAAATTAATTGGCAACGGCATGGATGACTGCGCTGACGGAAGAGATGAGTTATTATTCCATACTGAGAGGAAAGAAACATATTGCAAAGAACATAAATGTGGTCTGTGTATACTTAAATTAACTTTTTTAAACTAAATGTGTGTAAGCAATTGAGAAAGAGGAGAGGAGAGGAGGGAGGAAGAGAGAGAGAGCGAGAGAGGGAGAGGGAGAGAGAGAGAGAGAGCGAGAGAGAGAGAGTGAGAGAGAAAGAGAGAGTTTTTGAGTCTCTTTCTACTATCTACTATCTTAGTCTAACTATCTAAACTGTTTTTATATTTAATAATTTCATAATAATAATAATTTCCTTAATAATTTCAGACTGTCCAGCGGGAACATTTTCGTGTTCAAACAATTCCAAATGTCTTCCGGTGAGAAAACTATGCGATGGAAAGGTTGATTGCGTGGACGGTAGTGATGAGGGTGATGATTGTAAACTATGTGTTAAATATCTTTCTAAAATATCGCCCGAAGTGATATGTGATGGTAATTTGAATTGCCAAGATAGAAGCGATGAATCATGGCCTTTCTGCCAGCACAAATACGATTGCTCATCAAACGCGTTTTTCAATTGTTCAAGGTAAGTTTTGAGCCGAAGGTAAATTGTTTTCTACTGGCTAAATGGAATATTTTAGGTCGAACGCTTGCATTCCAAATAATTTAGTCTGTGATAACAAGACTGATTGCAATTTAGGAGAAGACGAAGAAAACTGTTATGGTTTAGAAATTCCCAATCCTCCATTTTCTAAGTAAGTGTTACAATTTATAACTCAAACTAGATTGCTTTAAACATGTATTTTAATTAATTTTTTTTTTTGAATAGAAATATTGGATTGTTTTCACAAACTATACTCGGTGAAGTGGTACCTGTCTGTATGAAAAACAGGCCAACCAGAAAATTTGTCGATGGTCTTTGTAAAAAAAATGGTTTCAATAATGCAATCCGTCATAATGTAATTTTAAAGGACAACATTATGATTGTTCAAGATGTTTTTTCAGAAGTGAAAGTAAATCAGTTCAGTAGGTTTATCGTACGAGCCAATAGGCCATTTACTAAGACTATCGTAAATGGGACATGCCCAGTCCTGTATGTTGAATGTAAATAAGTTATGTTTAAATGCTTTCAATGTTATTGCAATATATTTAAAAACATTTTTTGTGTCCAAATTATTTTTGATATATAAATTATCTGTAATAAAAGTGAAATATTTCCTCTTAACATTTGAAAGTAAATTGCTTTAAAAACAGAAATCTTACAAATACAAAATCAGAATATTGCAAGTTATGGACCTGAAGAACTTGGCAGAAAAGTTTAATAATTTTTTTAAAGTTAGTGTATATTTGTGATGTTTAAAAAAATAAAATAAAATATAAGGTTTGCTGGTAACAGTTCAAACACAAAACACATAAATTGTTGAGTTTATTGTATACAAAACATATTTACTAATTTTTACACATATTAAATCATTATTTATTTAATAAGCACTGGTTGAAATGTAGAATATGGCAGTTTTATAACTCTTGTTAAAAAGAGATCTAATTGTAAAAAAATCTTATGAATGACAATTTTTCTTTGTTAAACTTTAATTCAACACATTCTTCAAAATAACGAGCAATGTCATTATTGTAATATTTCATTTTTTATTAATATTTAATAAAGAATGTTTTAAATAAATATTTTTGGTTTTGTATAATATAAAACCCAAAGTTCATGAAGAATGTTTACGATGCAAGTGAAAAATGAAATTTAAAAATTATAAATAATAAGGTACTTTATTTATCCAACTCAGACATTATATCCCGCATTTCACTTTAACCTACATTCTGCACAAGGTAATTATAATTATCACTTTTCTTTTCATAGTGAATATTCAAGGTTTCATTTTTTCCCAAATGCTCCAGACGAACTCTGCGATCCACTGGCAGCAAACGAACCAACGGGAGAGCTGAAGGAGTGGCTGAAGCTAGAGCTTTGCGCCTGGCTAAATGATCCACCGCCGCCGCCAAATCCGCCGCCTCCATATCCACCTTCTCTTATAACATACTTGCGCTTGTGTCCATGCCCTCCATGCCCACCACCGTACAGCTTGATGACTGCTAGTTTCTTACCATGGTGTGGATTCGCTTCCCTTTTCTCAATGACTCCACTCTCTGCATAAATGAAATAAAATTTTTAATGTGTGTGTTTTTTTTATTCAAATATATATTACATAAATATAATACAATATATATTACATAAACATAATAATAAATAATAAATCTTTATTTGCATATATGTTTTTAATACAGTGTATGTTGCATCTTCATTTTTTGGTCATGGACAATCTCTATTGTATGATTTTAATTTTTTTTAAATTAAAGATTGACAAATCAAAATATAACAAGCATAGTAATAAATATCGTAGTAAATAAATATTGCATATAAGGAACAAATTTGCTGAAACATATTCATTTAAACTCTATACCTTCTTAAATTTGATTTGGCTGGGATGTCCCAACCTCTGAACCTGACCACCATGGTTCGGTCCAATGACAGATCAAGAATAAAATGATCTTGTTTGAAAAAGATAAAGATCATTAATGTACCCTTGGAGGACCTGACTCGTAGGAGAAGGGTCATCCTCACCTGATTAAGAATAGGCCCTGTGGGGTTGACACATGGACATTTACTTTTGAATCAAAGCCCGCGAATGTGCCTGGTATGTAGAGAAAGGCTGCTTGATGTGTCCCGCTTAATAAAAGAGAGTGCGTTTGCCACACGATTTGAGAATTGTTCTTTAGCAGAGCAGCAAGTATTTTAATCATCTGTTCTGATTCTTGGAGGAAACAGGGTTGTTTTATTGTTGTGCTAAGAGTGAATGTATTTATTGACATGAATGTATAATGTGAGAGGGTCGACGGAATATATCCCTATTCTATTTCTTTCTTTCTTATTTGACATCTTTGTCCAGTTTCTATTCTGAGCTTATTAATTTTATTGTCTAATTGAATACTAATTGAATTAAATGGTGATTTTTTGAATTTTACAGTAATTTTTAATAATTAAGAAATATATAATACATATAGGTGATAATTTATTTTCAATTAATCAGTTTGAATAATTATGTTTGTATCAATTAAAAAATTTAAAAAAAATTAAATTATAATTTCTAGTCTTTACAATTATATAGACAGTGTGTTTAATTCAATCTTTATGTTTTTTTTATAAGGATTTTATTGTCTTTTCATTGATGTATAGTATACTGTTGTATTCTTAATTAATGTTGAGTTAGTTAAAAGCATTGTATTGTACATATTATTTTTCTCCTTACTTTGGATAATTTTTTTAAGAATGGGGTAAAAAGACATTAAAAAAATTTTAAAAAAATTGTGATGCTCTGATCGTAATGGATGATAGTCAACCAAAGCTTGTCAATAACATAATTTGATTTTTTGCTATTATTAAAGAACGTTTTATACAAATGTAACAAAAACCATAAGTTGATAAAAAAAAATTACTTATAATTAGAATAAATTTGTTTATAGATTTTTTTTAGTTAAAAACAGCTAAAAATGTACTATGCATATATTATAATGCTTTATTATATTATTTTTTATAATTTCTGGTTGTTATAATTATATAGACAGAGGGGTTTAATTAAATCTTTAAGTTGTTTATTTATAAGAATTTTATTGTCTTTTTCATGGATGTATAGTGTCGTGTTTTATTCTTTATTAATATGGGCTAGTTATAAGTGCTGTATTGTATTTTTTTCTCTTCTTATTTTTGCATGGTTTTTACCCATTCAAAAACAAATGAAAAAAAAATATATAAAAATAAAAATTTGTGATGCTCTGATCATAATGGATGATAGTCAACCTAAGCTTGTTAATAACATAATTTTTTTTTTCTATTATTGAAGAATGTTTTATACAAATTTATCAAAAACTATAAGTTGATAAAATTGTTATTTCTTATAATTAGAATAAATTTGATTATATATTTTTTAGTTAAAACAGCTAAAAATGTACTATGTATATATTATAATGCTTTATTACAATATTTTTATATAAATATTTTTTATAATTCTTAGTCATTATAATTATAGAGACAGTGGGTTTAATTAAATCTTTACGTTGTTTATTTATAAGGATTTTATTGTCTTTTTCATTGATGCATGCAATATAGTACAGTGTTTTATTCTTAATTAATGTTGAGTTAGTTAAAAGCATTGTATTGTATATATAATTTTTCTCCTTACTTTTGATAATTTTTTTTAAAGAAAGGGGTAAAAACACAGTAAAAAAATTTTAAAAAAAAATTGTGATGCTCTAATCATAATATGATAGTCATCCAAAGCCTGTCAATAATATAATTTGATTTTTTACTATTATTGAAGAATGTTTTATACAAATTTAACAAAACCATAAGACGATAAAAAAATTTCTTATAATTAGATTAGCCCTGAAGATGATCTCAATAAAAGATCGAAACGTTGGCACGATAAAGAAATGTTTTTCTGAAACCTACATCACACCCGATCGCATCTCACGACATCTGAATAACTAACTTATAATTAGAATAAATTTTTTCATCTGCATTCTTTTTTTTGCGGTAATAAATTGCGTTCGTCTCGTAGCGCGAGAATTAGTTTGTTTTGTTTGTTTTTTTAATTATCTGGAATTAAGATGATTACCTTGAGTGGGCGCTGAATAAGAGAGTGAGATTGAGAGAAGAGCGATGAGTATAACAAATTTGACCATGACTGAAGCGTCGGCGGTTCAACAACGCATTTTATACACAAGCCCTACTCTTTTCCAAATCAAGTTTGTCTTGTTTTTTTGTTTTAATTTTTATTTCTTCTCGATGTTTGCGATGACTCTTCCGAACAAAATTACAGGCACATCGTAATGGGAAAAACCGGTTTGATATCGTTATTTTTTTTCCATGGGAACGTCCGCCCAAAGAAGGCCCATTCAGTAATATGTACAGGAGTTGTACAGCCGAAGTAATTATACGTTAGAACTTGAAATGCCAAGTTGTTAAGCATGTCAGTTGTGTAAATGTTTCATGATTGAGAAAACCATTTTTCTACAATAATCCTCTTTATTTTCAGTCGTATACAATCGAGTTTTGTTTTGATGAAAGTTATGATCGAAACTTATTTACAAAAAATTTTTTTTTAGCTAGGTCGTCGAGGCATCAGAATTTGTTCGAGTTACGATTGTTCGGTTGCTGACCGCTGTAGACTATAGCGTGGCTTGAAGCGACTCCACTTCTTCCGTGGTTGACGCTGTTGGCTATCGCGGCAACGCTTCCTCTGTCGTCGGGGTGTTGATCCGATCCTTTGGTCCTCGTGTCACTCCCTGGGTACATGCCGAGCATAATGGGGAACCAGGCGTTGAACGAAGCATTGGCGTTGGAACCTGAAAACAATAAAAGGACAAAATTCAATGGTATTATAAATCACAAGTGATCCCAAGAGAAGCTGTTTTGTTTGTGTTTTCAATAGGATAAAAATAAAAAGGCTAAAACCAGGAAGTGCTCACCAGAGTGCCTCCTGTCATCGTATTCATCGTCATAGCTTTTCCTCGGTTTGCTGTGGAACGGTTTGATCGGTTTATGCTCTTTCTCGTCTTCGACGGGCTTCGGCTTCACCTGGTCTTCGTCGAACTGCTTGACACTCGGATCTCCGAAGGTGCCGGGCCCTTCGAAGGACCAACCGTTGCCCATGGAGTTCGGCGGTCGGAAGCCTTCGGACGGTTGGCCCCAGGGGTCTTCGGAACTAGCGAAGACGCTCATACCGCTTCCCGGCATCCAGCCGCTCCAGGTCATTGCTCTCCCAGGATCCCTCCTTTCCCGATCTGAAACAATTTTTAAAATTAAACAACTTAACTTTAAACCATTTTTGAACACTAATAGAAACACTGAATTACTCATCAAATCAGCTTAAAATAAAACAACTTGATATCCGTTAGAGATCGAGAGATCGTATGTCCATTGTCCACTATCATTCAGGCTTCATTCAGAAAAAATAGCCTTAATTATCTTAATCCATGCTGTCTTAAAAGATTAATATTTATATTAATATAAGCTTATTCTATCTGTCTCTCAGATACGTTTCGCTTCTTAAGATAGCGAATTGCCGAATGAGCGAGAATAGGCGGACCCTGATTGTCGGGGAAGATCTAGTTATAATTTCATAACTACGAAGACATAATTAAATGTGTAAACAAACATCAATCTCTACGCAATACGTACACGACGTTAGTAGTCTCAAATAAGATCAAAGGCTTTTGTTTTTTTAAATTTTTTTATTTGACACTGGCTCATACAGAACGCTCCTATAAGTTCTAACTTGTATGTTTGTGAGTGTATGTTTTTATATGTTTTTATGTGACTTGTGGGTTGCTTTATTTGCTCGAAAACTTCAAATATTATTTATAAATTTTAAAAATTTAACATCTACCTATAATATTAATTCAGATAGCTGGTAAATATTTCGTGTAAATAAAATTCGACAGTTTTATTTTTTATTATTGTATTTCTTCTTTTCAACTACCGTATTAAGTAAATATTTTATTGTTTCGTTGAAGTCACTTGAAAAAGTCGCCCAGAGTCTATACTGTTCCAATGTAAAGAAATTCATACTTCATTAGCGTTCACTACAATTTATTATACAGGGTGTATCAACTTCTATGGTCCACCCATTTAATTCGGAAACGATTAACTTCAGCAAAAAATTGTCTTACACAAACCCCAAGTTAATTTTGGCTAGGAATCGCATGGCGGTAACAGATTTAACATAACTTTCTCATCTAGCTGGGAAGGGACGCTAACTTTGTCATTTTAAATAAGAATCCCATATTTTTATTGTACATTTTGATTCTAGATCTTATTTTAAGCCACTTTTACCGAAAGAAAAATTTTGATAGGATCAACAACTTCTGAGCTATGCACGACGGATGCTAGCTGGATGAGAAAGTTATGTTAAATCTGTTACCACCACGCGATTCCTAGCCAAAATTAACTTAGGGTTTGTATAAGACCATTTTTTGCTAATGCTAATCGTTTCCGAATTAAATGGGTGGACTTTAGAAATTGATACACCCTGTATATATACAAGTACAAATGTATTTTATAAATAAAGAAATTCCTCAATACCCGGTAGAAGTAAAATTAAAAGTAATTTTAAGTTTAAAGGAAGCCCTGAAGAATAATCGAGTACTCAGGGGGGAGTGAATGTTTGTATCGGATGTTGCGTCTATGTTAATTTATAACAATGAATGTAATTTATTAGCGTGAAAATAAGGGGTTGCTTAAGCCACCCAGAGGAATATCGAGTACTCTGGGTGGAGTGAATGTAACCAGGCTTCTACGTTTGTATCGAGTGTTGTGTCTATGTTAATTTGTAAGAATAAATGTAATTTATTAGCGTGAAAAGAAGGGGTTTCTTAACCCGCCCCGAGGAATAGCGAGTACTCCGGGGAAGTGAATGTGGTGGTGACTTTCATATTTGTGGTGATTTAGATATATGTATTGTATGTTTTGAGTCTATTGTGTACTTGATAACCTGAGGTACAAATGAAAGGCTAGCAGTCTACATTATCGACTTAGTTTTCAAATAAAAGCAGAGTCACTAACAGGTCATCGTATTACAGCTAAAGGAAGTAAAAATCATATTTAAATAATTATACCAGTAAACAATCTTTGCCAATTAAAAATTTGAATTTGAAAATCAAAATCGAATTTAATATTTTTCCGATTCAAAGAGGCGACGAGGACTTACCGAAAGGCGTGGCATGAGCCAGGGCGAGGATCGCGTTCAAAAGGCAAGCAGAAAGGATCATTTTGACAGAGCTGTTGTACCAAACTCAAATAAAGATGTGACATTTTATGTGACGGACCACCCTACTTATACCTATTCACTCCTACCATTTCTGTTTAGGGATTCATTCGGGGACTGTTTGGCAAGCATCCTGATCACGTACTCACATCGGCTGGATGGACGTTACTCGAGCTTCGGGACCATATCCACTGCAGAGTAGGTTGTCACCAGGTCGGGAAGGGACTCATTTCAAGACTGTCGAATTTTATGATCAGATGAAAATTTATCAAGGCCAATTACTTATTTTATACTTTTTAACAGCTTTTGTTACATGGTAATATCAAAGTTCTTTTTACGCAGATCAATACTTCCCTCGGTGGCTGGTCGTCTTGGAAAAATTAGCATTGATGAGGATTATAGATCAAAATAGTATGTGACCTTTTTCGAAAACTGCTTGGAAAATTTTTGCAGAATCTTGGATTATTTTTCTGAAAGTAAAATTTCTAATAGTCATACGGACTACATTCATAGAATAATTTTGGAAAATGGATAGAAGCCGTTTTATAAAATACCTCCTCATATTATGTTAAGTTATAAACCAACCAAGAAGGCAAAATAATGTCGTCTATGATAATAATAACAATGATTCTATTATCATATAAATTATAATTAATGATGGATAGGAAATTTAAAACAATTATTTTTTTATATTATCATTCACTAGATGAACCAAATACAATCGGATTTATAAAGTGATTTATGTGTAATATTTTTGTTTAATATTGTCTTGCCAGATTCAGCTCTCTGAAATCTAAATCAAACAACGTTAACATGGTATATTAGCCACAAAGGTAATAAATAGACATAAATGGCTTCTCATCTGGAATATTGTTCTAGGTTCGCCCATTCATATTCCGCTGTTAAAATTATTAAGATCTCTAATATTTCCCGGTCGGATCTGGAGTTAGACAGGGCCGCGTCTTTAGCCCCTTGTTTTTTTCGTTATTTTATTAATGACTTTCCTGATTTCGAAATCGGCTGCTCTAATGTATCAATTAAAAGCCTTCTTTTCGGTGATAAACTTTATGAAAAATTAAGAATTAAGTTATGCGATTTTTCTAAGCAGGCTTTCATGCTTTTATCTTTTCAAGTTAATATAATTTGAATTAATAATAATAAGTTTTATTTTCGACACGGAATTCTCTCCCCAACGCAATCAGTTCTTAAAACCAAACTCATTCACATTCTCACTCACTCTTAAATACATTTTATTTTACAGTCATTCACTCAGTTTCGGGTATTGGTGTACTTGATATTCTTCCATCATCCTTTGTACGTATTAGAAAACTAATGTAATTGAGAGTCTATGATTCAATTATTTAATCATAGGACTGTCACACAGCACGTTCAGGCCAATAAATACACTCACTAACAACAATCACTAGGGGATACATAACTATCAGTACATATACACTAAAGCAATCTTGTTTCCTTCAAGAACCAAACTAGGGCAACTAGATACTCACTGCCGCGCTCAAGCACAATTCTCTTATTGGAGGGTACATTCCTACTCGCTCTCTATATGGAGCCAATTCAATTAAACTTAATTAAGTTGCGATCTGACCCACCGACGCTGTCACTTTATTTTAATTTTTTTTAATGAAATGAAAAATATCAAACATTGCAAAATATTTTTCACTATGTTGTGCATAACGCAACTCTTGCAACCTACAAGTATTGATTACTGGGTGAAGGTTGGGCGTAGTAATGTGTTAACACTATATTTTTATTTATTTTGTAAATAATATGCATTTGTTCTTCTTTTTATCTACTCTGGTCCGCCCGGTATCGTGTTTTTTCCTAGAGAGAGCCTTTTCTCAATCAAAACTTATTGTCAATTCATAATGATAAAAGTTTAAAAAATATATCGTATTATAGTCGTAATGTCATTGTAAATAATATTATTCGCCATAGTAATAATTGCTTTATTAAAACAAAATTAAAACTTTTCGTTATATTAAAGAACAAAAGCATTAGGGGTTGTTTTGCTCTCCCAACAAGTGAGCTATTGCGGTTCTTGAGTGGCTCAAATTTTCGCTGCGCTGCATTCGCTTATGCTAAACATGCTTGGAGCTACAGATAGGAATTGATTCAAGAATTTAATTTTTAAGTTTTATTCTTTCATTGTTATTAAGGGATCGAAATTTTGGATATAGACTTCATTTTTAATACTAGTTCGCTTGTTTTTTTTTTGTTTTTTTTGTTTTTTTTTTCTTTTTTGTGTTTTGCATTTTTTTAGGTATACTTCGTATTTTTGTATTTTATTTTTTTTGTATATTTATTTTTCTTTTCTCTCTTTTTTTCTATTCTTCTCTCTTTCTTCTCTAAACTGCATATATATTTGTAAACCAATGACCTCTGGCAGACGTATCGGACGATCCATGTCCATAATACTTTTGTTCTTTAATATAACGAAAAGTTTTAATTTTGTTTTAATAAATTATTATTATTATTCGCCATAGTAAATTAAAATTTAAAGATGACTAACGCAAATCTTTGTGCACAATGACAAACCTAAGTTCTGGGGTTTGGTATTATTTTGAAAACTACAATCGTTTCTTCAATAATTTATCATGTTTTAGTTTGTCTAGGCTTTATTTTGTTTATTAACAAAATCCTTAAGAACTGTACACAGAAATGAAAGCTTACAGACAACTGAAGTTGTTGTGTAGACTTAGTAATCATTATTCGCCTAAGTCCATTGACGCAACTCTTGCGTAAAAGTGGTAATTAATCATGATTGAGTTTGTTTTGGCTCTATTTTGTTTTCTACCAAAAACTCCAAGCACTGTTCACAGAAAAAAGAAGTTACAGACAATTAAAGTTATGGTTGTTGTATAGACTTAGTAATAATTCATGGTGCCTTGGACCATGAAAAATGATCATGATTGAGTTTGTTTTGGCTCTATTTTGTTTTCTATCAAAATCTCCAAGCACTGTACACAGAAATGAGAGCTTACAGACAACTGAAGTTGTTGTGTAGACTTAGTAATCATTAGTCGGCTAAGTCCATGGACGCAACTCTTGCATAAAAGTGGTAATTGATCATGATTGGGTTTGTTTTGGCTCTATTTTGTTTTCCACCAAAATCTCCAAGCATTGTTCACAGAAAAGAGAAGTTACAGACAATTGAAGTTATGGTTGTTGTATAGACTTAGTAATAATTATTCGCCTTGGTCCATGAAAAGTGATCATGATTGAGTTTGTTTTGGCTCTATTTTGTCTTCTACCAAATTCTGCAAGCATTTTACACAGAAATAATAGCCTACAGACAATTGAAGTTATTGTTGTAGGGAAGACTTAGTAATCATTATTCGCTTAGGTCCTTGAAAAGTGATAATTGATCATGATTGAGTTCGTTTTGGTTCTATTTTGTTTTCTACCAAAATCTGCAAACACGAAACACAAAATTAGCGTACAGTCATCGAAGAAGTCATTTATGGGAGGGGAGATGAAACCGAATACTGATTCAATTGAGGAACTATCGAACAAGGAAAAATTACATGCACTGCCGACTCTTAAGGAAGTACCACTAGCCTCCATAACGGACCGTCCCCGTTCATTTGAAGGCTGTCAATGTCGTAATGGATGGCCGGACACCACAACTAATGCAGGTTTTCCTGGCGTTACATCATAATCACTTTGTACTGTTATAAGTTAGAAGCATATTAATAACTTTTAAACATGCATTTATAAGAAAGGATTATTTTCGGCTGCTACAGAAAGTATTTGAGTTTTGACTTGGTTTTGCTTTTAAATTTGTCAGTAGTTTGAACTATTCCAGTCCAGTCTTGCTGCTTAATTCTTCGACGACGGCCGTCGATAAATAATCTAGCGTCAGCTTTCGCAAACGTAATCGTCTCACATAAAAGTTTAACATCCCGGTTTTCCATTGAATGTAAATCGAACTTGTGGGAACCGTCCAAGAAGATATGGTGATTCAGAACAGAAAGATGCGGAGGGCAAAAGTGAAGATGGCCAACCCGGGGATAATAGACGATTTGGTATTCCCTCGCCGGCTCGTTTTAATGGCACAACATATGTACAGACCAGTGTTCGTGAGGAGGGGAATAACGGCCTCTTAAACGAGACTCGACTTGGCAAATCATTCGTATGCCGGTGTGAGCTTGAAGGATATATGTATTCACGAGAATGCTTCCGAAGCCTTTTCGCCGAGAGGTCGGTGCCGTTGAACCTATAAAGCCCCAAATTACTACGTATTATAACGCACAACATGTTAATTAGATCATAAAATGTCTTCTTTCTTATTGCAAAAATTATGAGGTTGATCATGGAATACAAATGATGTTTTTAAAAGATTTTTATTTCCTAGACGTCTAGGATCAACATTGAGCGTTTCTGCAGCCAAACTAAAAGTTCATTATACATTATTTACTCCTCTTTTCTGGTTGATGACTTATTATATTTCTTGGGTTTCTTTTCAGAAACTAGACAACCATCAAACAAAGAAATGGTTTGGATGGTTTGTCTAGATCCTACAGTTGATTGTCAGTAATTAATTGTTCATATATTCATTGTTTATTTACAAGAATGATTAGAAGCTTAGTTGGTATGGTGTGGTTATGAGCTTAGAACGGGGTGTTAACAATGGAACAAGGATCCGTGATTGTAAGGTCTGCAATCTGCGGAGATTGGAAGGTTTGGTTGAACCCTGCAGTTCTATGCCGTAGGTCCTTATTGGTTTCAGTATTGAGATATATATGAATAATTTTGCTGTCAAGGGAGAGTTAAGACCTGTTGTCTAGTAGTATTTTAAGTAATCGGTATCGTAAGGTCAGTTCTATTCTTTCGAGTCTTGTGGGGTTAGTGAGTCGTTTGACTTGATAGACGCTGGGAAGGGGGGTGAGATTATAATAGATTAGAGGTTTGACACGACGAAGAGTGATGGTTATGTTTTGGGACTTTGCGGGTTCAGTTTGATTCTCCATTTTTGCATCCATTGTTCAATAGAATATAGGCGTGTCTGGAGGGTTCGGTGAGCTATGACGGGGTCGAAGTTAGAGGATAAAATGGCAGTGTCGTGAGCGTATGTTTTGATTAGTTGTATCGGGATTGGAATATATTAGCAATATATAATGAGTACAGTAGCGGGATGAGTCGCTACCCTGAAGGTTTCCCGCGTATACTCTGTACAAAAGAGAGTGTTAGGATCCGACCCATATTCTAAAGCACCAGCCGGCCAGGTAGGATTAAGAATGAGTGTATGATCGTTCCAATTTTAGTGTATGTACCCCGAAACGAGTACATGAGTGTATGATAGGATAGTGATGTCGAGATGGGAAGGAATATCTGCAGTATATGTGAGAACAATAGCGGGCCGAGGGACTGAGGGACTCCCGCGTGCACCTTGTACAAAGGTGAGTGTAAGGATCTAACCCATATTCTAAAGCACCAGTTGGCCAGGTAGGATCACGAATGAGTGTATGATAGGATAGTGATGTCGAGATGGAAAGGAATATCAGAAGTTTATACGAATACAACAGCGGGCCGAGGACGATACCCTGATCGACTCCCGCGTGCACCTTGTACAAAGGAGAGCGTCTGGTTCCGTCCTATATTCTAAAGTACCTGTCGGCCAAGTAGGGATTAAGTTTAGGGATTTATGATAATTAATTTTTCTTAATTCCGCTTTTTATGGAAATTGGGGATTTTTTTATTGTATATAGCCGTCTTGTCCTTTTGTTTTACTGCACCTAAGCCGTTGCCGGCTCTTTACAGTATTATTGTATATAGCCATCATGTGCTTTATGATTCTATGTTTTGTATAAGTGAGTGTATTTATTAGAGTGAATGGGGAGAGGCTGATCTTGGAATAGCATCCCCATCGCCCCTCGAGCTGTGTAGTGACTTGGGTCGATGACGGAATATTCATGAAAGTACCCCATCGACCCCAATTAGATTAGTTCGTTATTGTGTACTAGTTGATGGAGGAAAACTGACCACTCCATCCACCAAATAGAATGAATGCAATGTATATAGGTGTGAATGTATTTATATGCGTGAATGCGTATTGACTGTGTGTTAACTCACTCTATCTGAAAAGGATGAACTCCCTATGTGCAGATAAATATATAAATAAAAAATAATCTTGATTCAATGATGGATGGCTGGTTTTCTTTTGGTGTATACGGTTCGTCCAGTCTGCTGCTCATCTCAGTTTTAATTTTCCTAGTTGTTCACGCTGTTTTTGAATAATGAAATTGTTTAACTAGGAAATTTGATCTGAAATCTCCATAGGAGAATTTTTAGTTTCAGGTGTTTACTAAACAGGAAGTACAACATTCGCAGGGTTTTCCCAAATATCCTTGGCCTTTGACCCCAAAGCAAATAATTTATATTTTACTAGAAACATGTATATATTTTGATATATTAAATCGTTAAAGAAGCACGTCAATTCGCTTCCTAGAAGCTTACATTAGCAACTTGGAGGTCGCGTAGTTCCTGAAAGATCGCCTTTGTCCAATGCAAAAGGTCCGCATTCTTGACAGACGTCCAAAACTTTTGTCCAATTAAGCCTAATCCATTCCCCCTCCGACGTGTCACTCGCGCTTTCATTCACGATCAGCTTTGATCCGTCGCCAAAGTAATTAATTAATAGCCTCCTCTATTTGAAATCCAAACAGCTCGGGGTATTTTTTTTGTACTACTTTCTAACCGTTTTTAAACGGATTGGTTCGTGAAGAAAAATCAATCCACTTATGAATGCAGTTAATGATCGCATACGGTAGCTGTAAATGAAATGAATTAAACAAGACTCGTGTTATGTAGCTGAAGGTCGGTGCTAGTGAGCTCCCCTTAAAACAATAACTATTTTATCTTAGGACATAATCTATTCTTTAATCGTTCAACTATCAAAAAAACGTCCGGGATTTTTTATAGAAATTGCCTGACGTCTCGACGAGATCGGTCGTGACGATGCTTGTTCGACCAGTCTTCATGTCCTTGGCGAAGCATCCTTACGGACCTTTGGAGCAAATGAGTCATATTATTTAAATCAAGTATGGGGGATCTGACGTCGTCCGCGAGCAGGTCTTTTGCGGTTGATCTCGTTTACTTTCACCTTAGCACACCCAAAGGTTAGACCAGTTTGAAACCCACAGCCACCGCATCAACAATCAAACTAGTAAGTCGATTTAAAAACAGTGTTTCCTTAAAGTTTACCTTATTGTACTGACAACTTATAAAATTTATTCTGTAACATAATATCTATATATTTATCTACACCCAAAGTGTTCATATGCAGGTGTGAAATAAATTCAGAGAAAACATGAAATTTATTAGCCTAAAAAATATTTTTTTGAAACATTTCAATTAATGAAGTGCATATGCAACTTAAAAAAACATACATTTCTTATTACAAATTAAACAAGAACTTTAATACACCTGGGAATGGGGAATTTCCTCCAGGCTAATTACATTCTATGCTAAGTTTCACACATTTGCATACAACCATCAGCAAATTGTTTAAAAAACCGAAGCCCCCGTTAGAAAATTGTGAACGGTGTGAATATATATTCAATATTAAAGAGAAAAGACGCGGATCTCTTGGAATCGCGCACCTGCTGTTGTCCCAGTGCCAAATCCCGATTGTGGAAGGAAATCACGTAACGTATGAACATGTAGCCCTTAATGTAGCAAGCCGGTGAATACAAATCCACACGGCTACTGGTATTTATGGGTATTTGACGCATTTAATTATACAAGACGGCCGTTAAACAATGTAATAAAAGTATAGCTACATACCAGGCCAGTTTTATATTTTATTCCGCTCTCAGTCTCTCTTTCTTCCTATCTATCTATCTATCTATATCCTTCTTTAGTTCTTTCCAGCATCTTCCCTCATTCATTCTCTCTCACTCCTCTCTCTCTCTCTCTCTCTTTCTCTCTCTCTCCCTCTCCCTCTCTCTCTCCCTCTCCCATTCACACTTTCACGCGAAATGTATTTCACAATCTCTTTATCTCTCTCTACCCCTCTCTCAGTCTACTCTTCCTCTTTCATTCGCTCATTTATGCTATCCCCCCATATAATACACACACCCTCTCTTCCTTTCCCTCCCTCTTTATCACTATGTTTTTCTTCTTTGAATGTATCTCTCAGTTTCCCTACCTTAATTTCTCTCTCTCTCTCTCTCTCTCTCTCTCTCTCTCTCTCTCTCTCTCTCTCTCTCTCTCTCTCCCTCTTTCAGGCTCTCACAGTCATTCTTTCCATCACTGTGTAACACAGAAATTCTCCCTCCTTCTCTGGTTTGGCTTTCCGCTATCCCTTTTTGTCTTCTTCTCATTATTTCTTCTTTCTTGCTATTTCATACTTTTTCTCGGCCTCTTTCTTCCCCGTTTTCACTCTCCCTCTTTCACTGTCTGTCTGTCTGTATGTCTCACTATGTCTTACTAAGTCTCTCTGCCTGTCTCTGTCTGTCTGTCTCTCTCTCTCTCTCTCTCTGTCTCTCTCTCTCTCTCTCCCTCTCTCTCTCTTTCTCTCTCTCTCTTTCTCTCTCTCTCTCTCTCTCTCTCTCCTTACACACACACACACACCCCTCACTCCACATCCCTATATCAAGCCAACAGGAAATATCACATTTCCTCGTTTTGTATCATTTACTCATCCTATTTCATACGTTTTTCACCCTCTTTCTTTCCGCTCTCACTCTCACTCACTCTCTCTCTCTCTCACACACACACATACACAAATAAGAAAAAAAAGAGTAAGAGAGCAAGTCTCTCTCGATTAGGCTTCACGCCATCTTTAGGATCGAAAATCCATCCCTCTCTAGCTCTTTCTCTCTTTCCTCAACTTTTTCTTTCTCTCTAGCTCTCATTGTGTGACTGTATGCTTAGGTTCTTTAATGAGCAGAATTAATTTGTACAATTCACTTGTAATATTAAAGTGTGTGGTGTTCAGTGACCGTTAGTCAATTATTATTTGGAGATCGTGAGATGCGGTCTGGTGTGGCGTAAGTTTTATCGTGCCAACGTTTCGATCTTTACTGAGATCATCTTCAGGGCTTGGGATTTATAAACATTGTTTAAATTTTACAAATACATGTAGGATGTGAAAAAAATGAATTTATACAATCATAGACAATTTTAGATTTAAAAAGAAAAGAAAGAAAAAGAGATATCACTGTATAAATTCATTTTTTTTTCACATCCTACATGTATTATGTACATACTTACTGTGAGTAGGAACTATCTTTTTAAAAAAGATTCCATTATTTATCATTTCTATTAATTTGCTAGTCAAAGCAGTAATGGATTATAACACAATCAATAACAACTTACTGTGAGTAGGAACTATCTTTTTAAAAAAAGGATCCTACATGTATTTGTAAAATTTTGTGTTTATAAATCCCAGGCTCTGAAGACGATCTCAATAAAGATCGAAACGTTGGCATGATGAAGAAAATATAATATTAAACGTGTAAAAATAAATGAACAATACATTATAAAATATAACAGTTCATTGATATAATAATAGATAAATAATAATAATAAATAATAGATATAAAATAATTTATTTTCGTAATATTTTAGTATTGAAAATTCGTACTTTTTTCTTATAAATTTCAAATTTTCCATTCGCATTCGTGTATTTTGTTCTGATAAACTTAATTTTGTGAAATGCATATTAATTTCAAATGTCTCTAAACAGGTTTTTCGAGTTGATCCTGAATGTTAATACGGTTTTATTGCTTCAAAAGCTCATGAATAATTTTTTAAAATGATTCCTTCACTTTATGATTCCTTCCTTTAAAAGACATCAGACTTTGTTGAAATGCCGTGAAAAAACTGATAGATTTTAACATAGTCTATTATACTACCTCCTTTTTCTCCTCTCTCTTTTTCACATTCCGCCATGTTCTACAGGAATAAGAAAGACATGAATAAACTGTAAGTGCCGCGTCTTAGATCATACTTTCTGTGCCAATAGCGTTCTTCTCCTCCATGCTTTCATGCATACCAATGTCACTTATTTTTGTCTTGTTAAATTGGATAAATTCAAGCTGGAGATCAAATGATTAAATATGGTAACGTGTATAATATAATTGATATTATATAAATTTCAATATGTATTCTTCGTTCGATTTTTAAATAAAATTTTCGTAAGATAACTATGAGGATATAGACGTATTAATGTTTAAAATTATTTAATTAAAATAGAATAATTTTAAGTAAATTAAAAAGTACGGCAAGGTTAACTGGTCTAGCCAAGTGACTTGAAACTAACCTGATGCGGAAAGCTTTAGAAAGTTTATTTCTAATAAAACTGATCGCAAAAATACTTTTAAACAAATAAAAAAACTTTCTAATGTACGCAGAAGCCTCGGTTCTATCAGGCAAGTCCATCACGACAAACGTATTTGCGAAATTGATGCGATGGATCGTGGTAATTTAAAAGAAACCTTGAATTGTGTATGTTCGATGCAACCAGGAAGTTTCCTGATTTATTTATTTACTTATTTTTTGCGATGTATTTTTCATGATATGACATCATCGTATATAATGAACGTCTAGGCTAGAGCAATTTAATTCATGAAATTACCAGTAAAAAAGTTAGATTGAGAGATAGGTATGTATATGCGGGTAGATAAATAGGTGGATAAATTTTTAATTTTTTTTATTTTCCCAAAAATACATTTTTCTATATAACATGATATATACAATTATGAAATCATAATTAATTCGTAGAAAACCCCTCTGTTACAAAAATTATAATACATTCATGCATAATCACAGTACAGGTAGAAGTTTTACATGGTGAGGTAGTTTCCTATAAAATCTTATATCCTAACCTCAAATCCCTTATACACTTTTTATTTTACAGTTATTAAGGTTGCAAAACATTTTCTTCGTGTGTGTGTCTTTTATAAAACTATAGAGCTCTTGGCTTTTTTCTTAGAAATGTGAAAAGAGAAGCGACATTACCATCATAATTCCTAAAAACCATTTTTGTATTATAAGGTTTTAATTTTTTATTACACAATTTCCCCAAATGATGAGACCATAGGACATTATTCCTTGAAACAGAGAATAGTAATTTTTTTTCGCTTTTACCGACCAATATTTTTCTATATTCTGCATGAGGAAGCACAGGACAGTCTCCCAGCCGTCCAGGTCATATGTGTATGTCATGTGAGACAATAATTGTCCTCCAACCCAAGACCTTCAGGGGCTGGATTGTATCAGAAACACTGTTTTTTAGTATGACCAGTATTTCCTCATCCCTTTGCCAGATTCACGCGCATAGAATTTTTCGTAAACCACTCCGTGATGGCTTTGAAACCCCTGCCAGAGTGTGTGAAGGTGTGTTCTTGTTTTGCATCATACAGTAGGCAAGTCATTCGTAAATTGGAATAACTCCACATAAAGTATGACATCAGCCTGAACGTAGGAAATCAAATCGTTCAAATAAATGAGCGGAAAGACAGGACCAAGGAGAGAGCCCTGTGGTTCCCCATGCTTAACAATCTTCATTGACGAGATCACACCATCGGATTTTACACGTTGATATCTATCCATCCAACCAAAAACCTTTGCGGAATGTGATCACCAGAATCACCAGCAATGCTTCTAGTTTATTCAACAGAATTTTATGATTAACCTTGTCAAAATCCTTGACTTAAATAATTTTCACTGATTTTCATTAGTTCATTTACTTCCAGGAATGTATGTATAGTTTGCACTAAATTAGTTGTACTAACTTACTATCTATACAAAGATTGATAACGTGACAGATATTGAGATAGTGAGAGTGTGTGTTGTGTTGTGTGTGTGTGTGTGTGTGTGTGTGTGTGTGTGTGAGAGAGAGAGAGAGAGAGAGAGAGAGTCAGAGACAGAGAGAGAGTGAGAAAGAGAGGAGAGACAGACAGAACGAGGAAGAGTGATAGTTTCTGTGTGCTTCATAAAGAAATGCAAGAAATGCAGAGTGAGACTGTGAGTGAGAAAGAGGAAGATATTAAAAAATATTAAAAGAGAAAGATAAAAAAATAGGAAGAGAGAAGATTGAAAGAGGGTGAAAAATGTATGAAGTAGGATGAGAGAATCAGACGAACGAGAAGAGAGATAAATAATAGTTTCTGTAGGGTTGAAAGAGAGAAATGGAGTGAGATTGTCTGAAGGAAAGAGCAAGATATTAAAACAGTGTAAGAAAAAGAGAGAGAGAGAGAGAGAGAGAGAGAGAGAGAGAGAGAGACCATGGTATTAACAGAGGAACGCAGATCGATAAAGATGGGAAATATCGTATGAGCGAGATTCTATGTGAGAAACATTATGATATTTTTTAAAAAAGAGTGGAAAAGAGGGTGAGAGAAAGACATAACGTGTATTTGGTATGAAGAGAGGGATAGCATCATGAGAGTTAGAAAGAAAAAGAGAGACTGAGTAGGGGAGGGAGAGAGAGAGGGGGGAAGAAAGAAAAAGTGCGGGTGAGTTATAAGGAAAGAAAATGATAATTTTAGAGGTAAGTAAGAAGGTAAAATAAGAGAGAGAGAGAGAGAGAGAGAGAGAGAGAGAGAGAGGGAGAGAAAGAAAAAGTGCGGGTGAGTTATAAGGAAAGAAAATGATAATTTTAGAGGTCAGAAGGTAAAATAAGAGAGAGAAAGAAAGAAAAAGTGCGGGTGAGTTATAAGGAGAGAAAATGATAATGATAGAGGTAAGTAAGAAGTTAAAATAAAAGAGAAAGAGAGAGAGAGAGAGACTATAGAAGAAGAAAAGAGTGATAGAAGGATAGAAAAAGGTAGATAGTATGTACAGAGAGGGACGGAATGAGTGAGAGAGAGGGAGAGAGAAACAATAAGAATGAGAGGTAGTATAATCGAGAAATGAATTAATTAAGGTTAATATAATCGCATAAATTCGATTGATTACATGCATACCAACACACACACAATTTTAACGTATAAAAAATAATAAATATGATTATAATTGTTCCAGCTCCAAGATGAAGCTCTGGTTCGTAATCCTGCTCGGAGCCACTTTGCTCTTCGCTCACGTTTTGACAGCGGTGACTACGTCATCTACGGCAAAACCAGGATGTGAGTTCCAGCACAGACGATACATCTTTTGAATCAATGAGCATTTTTTTCCGCCAGCAAAAACCCTGCTGATCTTTTTTCCTTTCTGTCTTACACGTGCACGTGCCAGTACTGGTAATCGCTTAGCTGATTTTCAATTATAAAATTGTAATTTCACAGACTTTGTATGTAAACTGTTTGCCGAAAAACAGAATGAAGAATGAAAGAACGAAGAAAAAAAACGCTTTCGGTATTATCAAGGAAGCTATGGTAAAACGATTAGCATTTCCCTGCATGAACGTTTCCTAAAATGAAACGTCCCGCCAATTCCTGCTGACTATAATTTATCGGTTCGCCCTTGGGTTTTTTCACCGGCGTCCTTTAGATATCCTGTTAGGACTTTTCTCCCTGGCTTTTATTGCAATTTGATAAAACTGTTTTGCACTCGGGGATAAAACGAGAAGTGCATGCTCTACACCTTCGCCCTTCGTTTTATGCTTATTTAACTAACTTGTTTTTGTTTCCTTTTAGCGCAATTTATCTCCTCCTTCGACGAGATAGTCGTCGAATCGAGTCTGAGAGTGAAAGGGAAGGACAACCAAGGGAGGCAAGGAAGGACGAAACTTGTCACCGTTACTCCCAATCAGCCCTCCAATTCTACTTCAACGACAACATCTACAACCACAAAACCAAGCAAATAAATAAAGATGGTTATAAATTTATTCAGTCGTACATTTTGTCCTTGTTCATCCTATCTAATACGAAATGGAAAAATATGCAAGAGTATTTTTTTCCTCTTACTAGTACCTTAATAAGAGGGAATTTATTTACTACTTGCTCCATATGACATATTACATGGGTTTTACAATCAATGATATAATTTATGTACATTTTAAATATAATTATTAGCTTTTTATGTAAGGTTTTAATTGAAATTATTATTGAATTGATTAATTAATTGAAAGAAGTAATTTGTTCAATCAGACCACTAAATATAATAGAGATAATTATTAGCATTACACGTAAATGGCTTGAATTAACATGATTATATCTAGAATATTTTATATTAAATCAAAGTTAAATTTTTTAATAAATGAAATTTTTTTATTTTAGATGTATTAATTATAAAAATGTTGGTAGCCATTGGTCTCCTTGTAATACTATTGCACGTACCATATCGGATCCTTGTCGAACTTAGTACAGTCCAAGATAATGTGTCCCCAAGTTTGGGTTCCGCTCCATGCACATCCGGAAGGGTCATCCTCGATGATCTTCAACCTTTTTTAGGTGTGCTTAATTTTTTCCGTGACCAGAGAAATCTATGTGGTTTTATGTGAGGGTTTGATCTTTATTCTTAGACCTTTGTTGGAGAAAATGTTTTGGTGTGACTTCCGTTGTCAGTGTTCTGCCGCATAGTTGAAGTTTCTCTCTGGTTGTTCTTAGTACATGCCATATCGGTGCCAGGTTGAAAGTTAGGTCCTCGCTTCTCGATGCATCTTTTGCCTTTCGGTCCGCTTCTTCATTCCCCTGTATGCCGATGCGCGCTTTAATCCGCTTAATTGAGATTTTCCAACCTTTTCTTTCCAAACCGATTAACATTTTCCAAATGAATTGGGCTGTCTTTGTCATGCGTTTTCGGGAATTTGGCAAGTCAATAGAGGTCCTGGCTGTTTGTGATGATAACCATGGAACCCTCCACACCATTAGCTCTTTCTTGAATTCATTTAAGAACCTCTTCTGTCGCCATCAGCTCTGCCTGGTTGTTAAAGCAGTGCGACGAAAGCTTGTAATAGCCGACATGGTGTGGAACGCATCCTGTACAAAAGCGCATTCTACTTTCCCATCTATTTTGCTTCCATGAGTGTAAATGTGAATAGTATATTCGTCACTATTTTTGTTTTTGATTTCTCTTTAAGTGAAGCCATTCCTTGAAGTCTATTCTGAGGTCCCAGTTTATTTAATCATTGCTGTACCCATATGACATTTTGTATTCTTGGAATATTGCTTTGATTTTCAGGTCTACGGGCATTTCTCCCGCCAACACACGCACACAGCGTCAACGAAATCGTCATGAATCCGTGAATTACTCTTAGAAGCATTAGGCTTTGGGCACGTCTTAAATTACCAAGGTTCTTCTTCTGGAGAGCTGCTAGCCATGTACGTTAAATTGGAAAGTACAGGCCTTTTATAAATGGTAGCTGGGCTCTTGCTTGGCCCCAATATACTCGAGCAGATTTTGACAGAATGTGCACCAGTTGGTTAGTCTTGTTGTATGTACAATCAATGTACGCTTTCCAAGATAATCATTCATCAAAGATTAGATCTAAATACTTAAGTTGATGTACTACTTCCAATGTTCGCCCATCATATAAATTTTTAATTCCTGAAGTTTTCGTCGTTTCGTAATTCGGATTTCTCGAACTGAGTCAATGTAGAATATGCCGAGATCATCAGGTCGAAGTCTGTTTTGCCTGTAATTGTCAACATATAGTCATCTACAAGGGTATAGCTAATATATGGAAGAGTGCAAGAACAAAAACCTTGATGTTGAGTGAGAAGGGTGAGAAACTGACATTCAGGAGGGTGGGCAAAAAAGGAGAGTAGAAGGGGGGAGAGAAAGATTGAACGTGATAGGAGTGGGAAAGAAAAAGATATAATGAGGAAGAGAGGATTATAAGATATAAAGTACACTGGATATGTAAACTTGATCAAATTACAAAATTTATTATATGGTTTTCAGGCGACCTTTCAGCGAAGCGTTAAGGCCTTTCCTTTCTTCTTCAACTTGCCCCAACTCAATTTTAAAAAAGGTGACATTTTCCGTGTATACAGGATTTTCCGTTGTTGCATCGGCCCATAGTTTTTGTGCAACTTTGACATGACCATACTGGTGGTTTTATATCTCAAACGCCATCACTAAATAAATTAAACGACCACAGAATACCTGATTTCATTCAACCTTAAAATTTATTATAATAATTAATAATAATAATAATAAATTAATCTAATAAAATTTACAGGAAGAGTAAGCAGGATGAAAACACAAAGTGGGAAAAATCAATGAGAAAAAAGAAAAAGAGAAAGAGAAAAAAATAGAATTAAAGAGAGAGGTGTCTGCATGAGTGGGATTGTGTGTGATAAGAGTGTAAGACTGTGAAAGAAAAATTTACCGTGAGAAGGGTAAATGAGAAGGAGTAAGATAAATAATGAATGAGAAAGAAAATAAAGAGTGAGGTGCGTGAACAAGGATAAGAAAGAAATTGTTTAAGAGATAAATTTAGAGTGAGTAGAATGGCTGAAAAGAGAAAGGAAAATTGAGAGAGAGATAGAGAAAGAGAATGTCGTAGAGAGAATTCAAAAAACAAAGTTAGAGTAGGCATAGTAAGATATGTATAGAAAAAAGTAGATAGTAAAGAGATAATGATAAACACGTTAAAAATGTAGTATATTTTTCTAATTAGTTTTCCTAATATTAAAATATACTATAAAAAAGAGAAATAGATGGAAGAAAGAGGGATTGGATTAGAAAGCGTGAGGGAGAATAGGAAGGATGATTGATCCAGTTAGTAGAGAGAGAGAGAGAGAGAGAGAGAGAGAGAGAGAGAGAGAGAGAGAGAGAGAGAGAGAGAGAGAGTAAAAGTGGCATGAAATAAGCTCTAGAATCAAATTGTACAACAAAAATTTGGGATTCTCATTTAAAATAACAAAGGTAGTGTCATTTAATGTTAAATCTAATACCACCGCGCGATTCCTGGCCAAAATTAACTTGGGGTTTGTATGAGACCATTTTTTGCTAAAGTTAATCGTTTCCGAATTAAATGGGTGGACTTTATAAGTTGATACACCCTGCATATTTACATAATGATATTTGGTATTTTCAATTTTATTTTTTCCTTGCTTAGCTATTTAATATAACGAAAAAAAAAGATTAAACGCGTGAAAACATTGTCATAATAACTAATTTAAGTTGTTATTTTGTTAAATTGATGTAGATAGCGCAATTACGTTCAGAAGTGATCGGTAACGACTGTGGTCGTCTATTATTACACCTAACTACCAGCACGACATGCCATATCACTTGGCCCCCCTTATGAGATTATCTAATCTCGGGATCAAGAAGGAAATATCATTTTTCTGCCAAAACAGGATTGAAACAAAACTTAACTGTAGTACCTACTGATTTGTCAAATAAAAAATTATCTACTAGATAAACCTAGTTAAAAAATGAAAACAAGCATTAGGAAATGTTGGCGTTATTATTAATTACAACCGAACAAATAAATTGTTCTGGTTGTAATAATCAATTTAAATAATGCCCTAAAGTCAATTAGATATCATTTGTACTAAAAAAAAAATAAGGGTACCATGTCTTTAGATTATGTTTCATTTTTGTCTGGCGTTTCAACAATACCTGAATGGAAAGAGAGAGAGAGAGAGACAGAGAGAGAGAGAGAGAGAGAGAGAGAGAGAGAGAGAGACAGAGAGGACATAAAAGAAAGAAGGATAGAAA